TGAGATTTAGGAAGAAGCCATGCCATTGAATGGCTTGGTCGACCCTCTGTCTTAAGCAAAGAAAGATCTAGGGTTCTTAAATCTGACTAAGAGTCATTCTTTCTGGGAAGAAAGGAAGAAAGTCTCACACAAGCATAAAAATGGAATCGAGACCAGGACTTAGCCGGATGACTCTTCGGGAACATAGAGATAGAGCTATTCTATCTCTCCCCCTCTCGGCGGGAATTGGCTCTACTCTTCGAGAAGCTAAACCCTCCTGAAATTAGTGAATTTCATTGAATGAAGAGAAGCGGAAGAAGAGAATAAGAATGCGCAGCAGTTGAAATTAGCGAGTCAATTACATCCGAAGGGCGAGAGATCCTCATCGAAGAAGGAATTTTCAGTCCTTTGCCCTTATTTAATACTGTTCTAAGCAAATTCATGTACTTCTCGATATAACATCGACTAGTAAGCAGACTTCTTTACCCTAATGATGATGAATAAAAGAAGAAAGAAGGAATGTGGCAATGAAAGGACCTTAGGCTTAAAAGAGTGTTAGCTCTTAGTTGGCTTCGACCTCGCATCTTTCCTACCTTACTAAAATACTCTTAGTAGGGAAGACTTTAGTTACAGTTGAAACTATCCCATTTTTGTATTAGTTTTTTGGGTTATTACCACGAAAAACCCCAAACTGGTACACCTGTGATAAATTTACCCTCCGTTAGTTTCCGTTAAATTTTACTGTCAAATTACTTAGTTAAATAAACACATGGCAGTTGACAAATATACTAGTTTGGGATTTTTCCCTCCATTTGTCCCATGTGTACTAGTTTGGGATTTTTTTGTATTAATTCAATTTAATGGAGGATAAATTTGTTACAAATGTATTAATTTGGGGCTTTTGGTGGTCAAAAAATTAGTTTGGGATAAATTTGTCAAAGGTGTACCAATTTAGGATTTTTCGTAATATTAACCCTAGTTTTTTAAATCGATTCCACTTCTCTGAATGACTTATTCCTACTTTTTGCACATATTTTTCATTACTTCTGCACACATTCGTTACATATATATCGTAATACTGACCTATATCATCGATCTTACTTTCCAATTTCTCCCTTTCATTAGGGACCATTTCCACTGGTATATTCAAAACTAGGAAATATTTTAGTTGCTCAAGTGGAATTGGATTCTTAACCCAATGAATAGGTTCATCTATCTTACCCCTTAAGAGACTCAATAACTTATTCAATTGAAGAACTTTCGTTTAGAATTTTTCAGTTTCTCTTACGAGAAATCAAAATAATTTATAGGATAGATCATATTCGTATAAAAGAATTTGTTGATAAATTGAATTGGAGAACCAGTTTGATAAATTTATCAGTATATATTTTGTACACATCTTTAGCAAAAGGAAAAGTGGTTACAAAATTATCATGTACCGTGTACACGGTTGCTCCATTATTCAATAATTCATTCAAGACCTTCATTGCTGTAAAAGCATCTTTTTGATTAATAAGGTTAGCAAAAGTAGACACTTGCGTTTTGCGCTTATTCCTTTTTGTGGTAGGAATTTTGAGAGTAACACGATGTCTTTTATTGGTTAATCGATTATAAGTCTGAATATTTTCTGATACACTACACATATAATCCTGTATAGTAAAATAGTAATCGGTGTTTAAATGACAGGTTTATTAATTGCTGAACAAAACCAAGCAATTTTTCTAATCAACTTTGTTAAACTCACAATATCAATAAATTTCATGCAAAAAAAGTCATTGCAATTTTGAATTAGTTTTATACAATTCTTTCCATCGAGATATGAACCGAAGGTGAGCTTTATATCATTATTGATGCCAATAAGTGTCTTGCCATATATCAATGGCATGAAAATGCTTTTGACAAGCTTTCTTGTCATAAATTCTTTTTTTACTTCCATAATTGAATTTACAAATTTATCTTCTAGGAAAAGGAGTTCTTTTTGCAAAGATAGATACATATCTAGTACAATCCATCATCAGTGGGAATAAGATTCGTTAGCTTAGCCGTATCTATGTTAAACAATAGATAATTTGATAAGCAGACGCGAACGCAGACGCACCCTGACTTGCTGGTTGTTTACACAATTCAACTAAATCCCAAGATTGGATAGTCAGTACCTTGGACATAAACTGAAATTGATCACTAGCATTCAAGGCAAACTGAATAAGACTTTTGGGTTTATTACTGAATTTAGACTTCACGCTTTTATACCAACCAGAAGAGTCATTGTTCGTAGAGAAAGTATACTTAAAAGGATGCAGCACTGGCTAAATGATCACGTAGCATGCGTGGGTCACTTGTTTTTTTCATACTGTTTACTATTGAAGTTAACAAGACTTTTTGATAAATCTCGCTCATGATTATGCAAGACTCCAGCGCGGTACATTCTACCGCGGAAATCCGTGAAAGCTGGAAGATAAAAAGTATAACCCTCTAATGCTGATGCTAGTTTAATAAGAAATCCTCATACCTAGCGCTCTGCACACCTGGTAGCAAGTAGTCTAGCCTACAAGCAGTTTTCAAACAGGCTGTTGTCATGTTAATGTTGGCTAGTTTACACGGCATAAGAAGACCAGCTTCCTCTAAAGAGAAACGTCGTTCCTTAATGAAATGCAAAAGTGTGCTGTTGACCTCAAAGGGCACGAGTGAGTTTTTGCCGCTGTACAGTGCACCTATACTGTTGCACAGATTGAGTTTCATGGGCAGGAGATTGAAGTCAAAATTGCACGTAGCATAACATGGCAAAGGGAAATGAATTTTCTTATCAAGGATCGAATTAAAATTCACCTCCGTTGACGAAGTTATCAACTCTCTCTCCAGCAAAAATCTGACCAAGCCGGTCCCAATTGCAAAAGCTTCTCCATTGACTTTCTTTTCCCTTATCTCACCCTCTGTTGATTCAGAATCAACCACGTCTTTGTCCTTCTCTTTATAAACTACTTTATTACACGACCTTTCAATTTGGGATTGAACTCGTACAGCAGCATCCAGTTGGTCTATCAAAGTAAAGAGCTTAACAACCGATGATTCTTTTACACTGCTGAAGACTAATCCCAACACATAAACACGGATGGCCACCAGCGCATAGGTACCTTTTGAAAAAGAAATAACATACTGTTCCTCTTCTTTTAATAAATCCTTGATAAACTCTTTTGCAGTAGGAGAATCGACCGAAACCAATCGATTCAGCAAATAAGGTGAGGTCTTAAACACACTCTCCTCGTCATAATTCATTGTTAAATTTTCACATTTTCATTTGTAAAGAAAATAAATTTTCCATTTTGGTTATTTTGTTGTTAATTAACAACAGAGAAACCTCATCGTGATACATTTTAATATTTCTAGAACTTGACTCAAGATTTATCTTAAGATTGTCAATAAAATGATACCAGAACTTCTCAATGATCATATTGTTTGACTGGGATGAATTTTTTTCCTTTCATTTTACCTACTAACCATTGCTGGTAAGCAGACAAAGAATAAAATCGAATCCAATTTTTTTTTTTCCTGAAAGGAAGGATAGAATTGTGAAGGGAAAGAATATATCATACTGAAAAGTTTGACTATGAAGACCATACTAAAAAGTTTCACTGTGTAGACTCACATCTGTGAGTTTTGCTTTTCAGCAATCTAGAACTCTAAATAGGATTCTCCAAATTACTGTCTCTGATGGGGAACAAACCTATCCTGAATAGGTAACTTGCAGGTTGGACTTAGTATCCTACGGACAGGATGTGTAATCCGTAGGCTTCATGCTCATCCTCCTACACCCTTGCCAATCATAAGAGCTTTGAAGAACGAAGGAAAGAAATGGAATGGGAAGGAATTATCAGACGCACGGAAAAGATGCATGAGACTGGTTGCTCCACTCCATCATCAGACAGCAATGACAAGAACTTTTAGTGTTTGTGTGCCATATGTTGTACTATTGGTGCTTGTTGGCCATATGTTACATTATTGATGTAAGTTTGTTTTTTCTTTTCCTTTTGCCTATAAGGCATGGTTAGTAACGCTTCAGAGGCAAGAGAGCCTCCTAGAAATAAACCAGCGTCCTTGAATATAATGCAAGGCTAATACCACTCTTTCCTTCCCTTTAAATACCTGTCTAATATTAAAGACTTTAGAACGGTAAGATAGCACCTCATCTTGGTGGTATGCTCTACGCTCGCCTCTATAAGGACCTTGTGTATCAGAAATTGAGATCCGAAGCCTTATGCCTTGAACAAATATTAAAGCTGGATGATAAAAGTCGATCCAGATTGAGTAAGGATTGGGAGAGACCTTATTAGGGGACTGAATACATGCATTAGTTTTGATATTCTTCTGGGCATAGCCCCTTTTAGGCCTTTTAGAGGCCCAAAGAACTTGATAATGTGGTCCCAAACACACCTTAATTCATTGCTGCGGAGCGATGGCCGGCAGCGGCCGTATATGGTTGATAATGAGTGACTATAATGTTTTATTTTATTTTATTTTTGTATGTCCTCTCTCTCTCTCTCTCTCTCTCTCTCTCTCTCTCTCTCTCTCTCTCTCTCTCTCTTTGCAGAGAATGAGTGTCAAACCATACATCTCCCCACTCTATCCCACCCAATTCCCTTGCCCAGTGGGTGAGTGAATATAATGTTTGAGGTGCTAAGACTTTGGGATCAATCTGGGGCTTAATATAATTGGGATGTTTCTCAAGACAACATAATTTATCTTTCTAGGATTTTAGGAAAATAAAGGATGAAAAATAATTGCGAAGTACCCACCTGCGCATGGCCGAGTTGGTGGGAGCTTTCCTTCCCCGAGAGGGTTATGGGTTCGAATCATAGCTCGGTTAAAGTAATTTAAGTGGGGGCCACAGCGGTGGGTTCTTTGAATTTAGTCTCCCCGAGGTATAGGCGCCCCGATTACCTGTGTGCGCTCATCCCCGGGGAATGATGGCGGATCCTCGATTACCAATAATAATAATAATAATAATAATTGCGAAGCAATAGGCGTACAGACGGACTTTTGTCCTTTTCAATTAAGAATAAAATATCTTTATTACGACTCTCGAACATGAAATCTTATTGTCTCACGTCCAAAAAGGATATGACATCCAAAGTTATGAGCTCCATTCTTGCTGTATGTCCTCGTAGAAGAACACAAACGCAATCTACGAAGCACGATCCGCACAAAGCTCTTCCTCGCATCCTCTGGACTTCGTCTTCCAATCTTCACACACAACGGCAAGCGATGCTTGAGACGACCCGCCACGGGTCATGCTCTCGACCGAGCTATCTCTAATCTCTCGAGCCCTACGTCTCATTCTCTTCCCTTCTTCTCCCCTCATCACGGCCCTCACCACCCTCTCGATCTCCTTCCTTCCCACCACCTTCCTTCCCCCCTCGATTGACGGCCTAATGGCAACGCCGACATCTTCCACCAGCATCGTTGCGTTTGTCCTCTGCTCCGCATAGAGCGGCCAGGCTATCATCGGCACGCCTTTGGCCAAGCTCTCGACAGATGAGTTCCAACCGCAGTGCGATAGGAATGCTCCGATCGAGGGGTGGCTCAGTATGGCCACCTGGGCAGCCCAAGAGGACACCACCATGCCTACCTCTCGAGTCTTCTCCTGGAAACCTTGTGGTAGATACTTGGTCAGATCGTCTTCCTCGTCGCTCCCCACGTTGAAAAACGCAGCTGAGACAAATTGCTAATCTTTCAGTTGATTGGATAATACATAGAGTTTAAAAATACTACTGTAAGTCTCTAGTGTACACACAGATATGCACAAATATTCCAGGGTTCTTTCATTGTGAAATCAAGATGGACATGTTTCATGATGCGATTAAAAGAACAGTCAATAGATGCACAAATTGAGATTAAAGGATCATCAACTTAATGTATCAGTTAAAAGTATTATCAATATAGATTATATGCACCATACCGGTTTGATTCAACGGTCACCTAGAACAAATATCATCGTGTGTGGAATACCAGCTAGATGTCAACTTGCACTTTATTTGATGCATAAAATGGTTGGTCTCCCCCCTTATTCACCTCTCTCTAGAAAGCCCTACGAAACCCTGACTTTTGGTACACTGAATGCATTCCCTCTTTCAGCCTTTACCAGTCCCTGAAATGATTGCTCTCTCGCTTTTCATGGGAACTACTTTTCATATGAGATGTATGACAGATATGTCGGGTAATTAACAAAACCCCTTTCTGTTTTCGTTTTGTCACATCATTATTTTCTGTCGAGATTTGGCACTTTATGTAGCATTTCGGTAGAGCAAGTGATAACAAAGTCAAGGAATATTCCCAGTTGCCAAGCACGCAACTGTAAATGCAGAAAAAAAAGAGAAATTAAGATAAAAAATCTAATCTAAAATTAGGCGGATAAAATATTAGCAATCTCTTGGTTTGGATGAAGTAAATTATGTGAGCAAATTACGTCCTTCATTTAGAGCAACCTTAAGGTACACTTATATTCTAATTGGAATCATATACAAAAGATAAATGATTAAGTGATAATTAATCTACTGTGAGATTTACAGTATGTTCTTAATCATAAATAAATAATTATAAATTGTTATAGGGTTTACGTTTTCAAGAATTTGTGATTCATAATATGTTGTTATTTTCCAGTGGTCCAAAAACTGATATTCTAGCAAAATCTTATACAAAATAAGCGATAGGTCACTCATAATCATTTGCTCAAAAACCCACCTTATAATAGGAAAGAAAATTTGAGGTGGTTTTGACCCTCGGCTGTTACATTAACATTTGAAATTACCTCAAATTATTCGAATTATTGCTTAATTCGATATCGAGATGATAATTCTTATTTTGTCAGGAAATTCAGATATTGTCTCGTTGGCCAAATAAGAACATACGCGACACGCTCTCACTGAGGAGTTTCTTGGTCTTACCCGAGGCAGAGGCATCCGTGGGCTTCCGAACGATCCACAAGAACCTCTGTTGGCTCAGCTCCAGACCCCAGGCCATCTCCACCTGCTGCTCCCTCGTCAGCGTCCCGCCGCTTCCCAGCGACACCAGCACGACCGACTCTTCCGGTTGCCCGTCCAGCCACGTGAGGCACTCGGCATCCGTCGAGCGCAGCCCCTCCGTGTCACCATCGCCGTGCACGAGCGGCCCGATCGCGTGGACCGGTGGAACCGGCACCTGCCTATAGAAGGAGTCCTCGCTCAGCGCCCGGAGCGCACCTGGCTCGAGGCCCTCCCAGGTGTTCAGGAAGATCCCGGCTGCCGTCGGCAACCGGCTGACGTGGTACAGGTACCACCGGTACTCCTCGTTTTTTCGGTCCTTCACCTGGTCCAGCAGGTCGTCCGGTCGGATCGACGGGCAACCAGGGACCCGGACCAGCCCTGGCAGGTCCACCAGTTCGCCCGTCACCTCGCGGTCGAGCGTCGGCAGGTACAACGAGAACGCGAGCATCGTGGCCGACGACGTGAAGAACGAGTAGGTCGGGATGCTGAGCTTGCCAGCGACGTCGAAGGCTTGAGTGCAGAATAAGTCTACAACTAGCACCTTCGGGCTCAGCTCGATGAGCGTGGCTTCGAGGCTCTTGAGGCTTGCTTCGACGACGAAGCATATGCGGGTGAGGACACGGCAGTCTTCCGGGACGATGGAGGCGGTGTCGACGGCCGGGAGGCCGAGCACGTGCAGGTCATGCGGGAGGCCTGGCGCATTTAGTAGCTGGTCTTGAGCTGGGGTCGGGTCGACGGTGGTGACCACGAGGAAGGTGACGCGGAAGCCGTGGCCGACGACAAGGCGCTTCGCGAACTCGAGGAGGGGGATGACGTGGCCGAGCCCCGAGTTCGCCAGGACCGCCACGTGGGGCTTGTCGTCATGGTCGTCGGCGACGTGCGACGCAGTTTCCGGCATGGTGTGGGCTTGGGGGTGAACGGGGCAAGGGAAGCGGGAGATGGAAAGCAGTTGTTGTGGTGTTGGCTTTTTCGAAGCGTGCATGTGCATGCGTGTCTTCTTATAGACTGATGATTGATATTGCACTCCTGTCCCTCTACGTCAGCCTCCCACCACCACTCCTTTCATTGATCGCCACAAGTTCAAAGGGGGCGGCCCACTCTTCACCTTTACTCTCTCTAGCCTCCACCCTCCGTCACTTTCTGTTCCCCACTGTCTCTCTGCACCTTCTCCTCTGCTGCAATCTCTCTCTCTCTCTCTCTCTCTCTCTCTCTCTCTCTCTCTCTCTCTCCCAACCGAGAATCCAAGAAGACGATGAGCCCCCCATGGATAGAATCCAAGCCGAGAAAGAAGGTGAAGGAGAGCACTGGAGAGAGCTGCTTCGGCTTAGATAAATCTGGAAAATGGCCCCATCAGCTAAAGGAAAAGCTTTAGCTAAAGGAAAGGGAGTGATGGTGGCCGGAAACGAAGAAGAAAATGCAGGTGCGAAAGAACTCGAAAACTGGAGCAAGAGTGAAAATGGAGAGGACTTTGTACTGTTATATCTTCTTTCTCTCTCTCTCTTCCTCTCACTGTCACCATCATGCACAGTGTTCGTTTCTCTAAGCTGTTCACGAACAGTTTACAAATCTAATTGAAACTATGTAGGTTTATTTGCTTAAAACTAACTTCATTTGCTCATCTGAATTGTGCAGGTTTACAAATCTACGTCTCCTGTTCATGGCATCACACTGGCATAAAGCAATTATCGACGGTGGGCGTGTCTGAAAAATGTCATGGCTTTACATACCAAGAAAAGGAATACGTTTTCCCCAAGAATGAACCCAATGCCTCTTCTGGATTGGTCCGGAAGCATCCGAAACACTCAACCTGAGGTCCCTAGACTCATTAAAATGACCACCGGACCTTCCCCAACAAGAGTTGATTGAGATTGACGCGTCTGTTGGACCCAACGAGTGCTCGTTACTCCAAATTTGATTATGGACTCTTATCTTCTGTGTTTTTAGTCCCATACATTAGTTGATAGTTCTCAGTAGCAAAACTTCTTTTCACGCTAGATCTTGCCCGCTCCAACAGATACATCCGCTTCAATTAACCGGCTTAGGAGTTTGAGAGACTCGATTAATTAGAAAGAGTCTTGGGAATCCAAGAACTTGATTGAGAAAAAGTTTGAGGTTTTGATTAGGAGAAAAAATGCTAGTTCACTGACCAAACTAGAATTTTACTTTTTCAGAAATACAAGACACATGCAGTTGTTATTGACTTCAGGCTGGTAGCATGGCCAGTACATTCGATAAGTAAGTTCTTTACTTGTACAAAAGTAAAAACTCATTGTAATTTACCATAGTTTCTCTATCCATAATACGCGTGCTTCAACTCATCAAGCATCTAAGTGTTAATAATGAGTGTTCATTCAACGTATTGGATCGTATCCACGATTAGAAGAAAGAGCAATTTTTATGATTTCATTTGCAGTTTTTTCTGAACAGACATTGGGCCCATCCAGCCTCGATTGATGACTTTGGGCCTGAGGATTTTCGGCAAAGCCCAACCTAAATTCGTCAAAATCAATCTTGTAAAATCAATCATCAAGGCTGGACAATAGTACGCATGCATCATGAAAATTGCAAGAGCCATATTCTTTTCATTTCCAAAGATTTGAAACCGGGACGGGCTAGAATGACAGTGAAGTAACCTTGAATCCTCAAGGTATGGAAAATTTGATGCACCGAAGAAACATGAATGAACTACGATGTTCCAGAATATTAAAGGTATATACGTGCGTACAACATGTTAGAATTATGTACAGAGATGATCTACGGCGCCGGTATGTCAAATATACACAAGTTAGTATTTAACATGTAATGTAGGAATGCTAAGTACGTTGGCAAATTGAATTGCAATTGATCTTTAGTTGCCAGGATATATTTCTTTTTTATAATACGGTGGCGCTACCATAAGTAGGCTAGATATTGTTCCACCATTTCCAAATGAAGGAAAAAATCACGAGCTCACTAACTATCTAGGATGTCTATTAAGTTCGTTGTCGGTGTAAGATTTTTCTATGCATTCATCATTGGACAAAACGTACGTAAAAAATTCATTATGCCGGACAATGGACCTGATGATTACTCTTATATTTATATATAGTACCTGATTATATCCATGTATTATGCGTTTCGCTCACGGACCAAAATTCGAGACGTCCGTAACATTTCAGAAAGAAATTGATGGCTTGAAAAGAAAACGCACGCTTAAACGTAGATGGTTGTCCTTTCATGAGCATTTGTAGTATTCCATAAATGTGGATGATACTATATAAGATGGACCGACTGATAAATGTCGTACACGTGTCCCGGAGGATCAGGAGAGTATTATTATTTGAACTCTTATTGCATATTGGTCAAGGTAACGACGACATATATTGTCCAAACTCCGCCTGTTATCTGTCAACCGTGGAAAATTTCAACAAGAAACAAGTTGGTTTTCTGGGAACTAGTGCATGAACCATATACCATTTTGAACAAAAATATAATGACACAAATGGTTCATGAACTTTGACTTAATATGCAATGTGGTCCTTGAACTTTTAATTTATTCAACGTGATCCTTGAACTTTAGCTTAACATGCAATGTGATTCTTGAAATTTTAATTTGTTTAATATGGTCCATGGACTTTTGATACATGTTCAACTCAATATGAGAATGTTCAATGTTTTCCTTCCATTAATTCAAGTTCATGGACAAATTTAAACATTTCATAAAGTTCAGGAACTAAATTGAATATGTACAAAAAATCGAGAGATTATATTGAACAAATTGAAAATTCAGGGACCACATTGCACATTTGTATACAGTTCAGGAATCATATTAAACAAATTAAAAGTTTAAGATCATATTGTACAATGGGCCAAAGTTCATGGATTATTTGCATCATTTTCCTTTGGACAAAGACCCGAAGGTGCTCGTCGTCATATCTAGCTTGCAATTTTCTGAGTTCATTTGGGCCTTCACTCGATTGTAACTCGGGTCAAAATTATCGGGAGGAAGATTGGGTCCAAACGTGAACCGGTGTGGTTGAGGCTCTTTGGAGTCACCATCTATCACAAGTTTCATTGTGCGGCCCAAGGTCTCTCAACTTGAATATACCTTAGATTAAATATGAAGAAGAAACCTATTGAAAGAAATCGAGTGCACGATGACGTAACGACAGTGTTTTCGATTAATGTTCAAATTTCTTAATTTGACCAAAAAGTCAGCCTTTAACCTGTGCATGCGTAATCTAATGAGATACAACCTAAATACTGTTGGGGTGTAATGCTCCCAATGTCTACATGCGGAAGGGATGCTATGAGTGCGGGACTATATAAAAATTGACTATTTTTTCACCAACGATCGATTCGCGCCACTGATGATGAATTCGATCCTTGAAACGATGTTCTATGAAAATATATGTTTCACTAGCCGGCGAAATTCAGGTGTCAAAAAGCCAGTATGCCAAAAAACAACAAATTAGTATTTAATATGTAAAGCCCATATACTAAATAAGTTGGCAAACTATACTGCAATTGATCTTTAGTTGGCAAGATATATTTCTTCAGATGATATAGGGGCACGATTGTAAGTCGGACAAGATATCGTTCGACAGTTCTCAATTGGAGGATTAAGATTCACACACACAAACTAGGATTAGATAGTCTTTTCGAAAAGCAAATTACATTACACGAACTAAATGATGCTCCATCAAATTCGAGACGTACATAACATTTCAAAAAGAAATTGACAGCTTAATTCAACAAGGAAACGCGTCCGACACAAAGAGGGTGGGTCCCTTCGAGGTATATATATAGATGGCTTGTCCTTGCATGAGCATTTGAAATTATTCCATAAAAGGGGGACGATACTATATGAAATGGACCGACTGATATATTTCATACCGGTGGACCAGGAGGGCATCATGATTTGAACTCTGCTTGTCAATTTTGTCAAATGTGGGAAGAGTTCCACGAGAGACGAAGTTGGTCTTCTTGGTGCCAATTGCCAACATGTATTAACAAAAATTTCCACGCCTTCTTTCTCCTTGAACGTTTCTTTTTTTCCTTACGCTTCTTTCTGTTTCAACTAAATAGAGTTGAACTGTTGCACACAACTTGCATTTGAATCATATGATATTCGGAGAAAGTCATGGTACAGCCTTTAGCCGCAAGTTGCGAATGTCTTGTTACATGTGTGGATACGACTAGGGGAGAGCGGTTCTAGATTCCAGATAGGTTTCACCTAGAACCTGGAACCTATCCATGGGAACAGGTTTCTCATTTTTTGAAACCCGGAACCTACCTTGTCACAGGTTCCAGGATCAGTTTCAGGGCCTATACAGGTTCCACATGTATTATTAATTGAATAATTACAGTAAATCATCACCTTTAATAACCACCACTTGCTACTATGATCCACTGATCACAACTTATATTTAGACACATAAAGAATGTGAAACATTAATAAGTCATAAAATGAAATCTCAAACTAATAGTTCCAGATTATATATTCATCATCTAATACTATGGAACACTGCAAGATAATGAGACGATATAGATCAAGAAAAAAACACAAAAAACTTGTTTAAGATTTCAGGTTCTAGGTTCCACCTACCAAGAACCCAGAACCTACCCGTCGAAAAAGCTTCTCCGATTTTTGGAATCTGAAACCAACATACAATCCATGGAACTTACAGGTTCCCACTGGTCAGATTCTCAAGTTTTAGGGTTCCTGGAACTAGGAATCATGCTCATGCCTAGATGCGACCTTCCATTTGGCTAAGATTACTATGAAATAGTGGAAAAGCACAAAAGGTTTTGTAGATTGGTGGAAATTGATGGGATTAGCTAGCGAAAACAAATATGGGAAGACATTTACCAAATATTCAAAGTTAGGCTGACCATTTTTTTTTTCCCTTTTTCATCATTCAATGGGCACGGTTAGAATCGTTAGACTCGACAAGATTCAACCCATTTATGTGGCTTATCAGGTCTATTATTTAACATTTGACATGAGCCCAATTTAATTAAATATATTATGGGCCATATATTTGTGATATCCAATTAGGCATATCTTAAACTTTGATGGACGGTTGAGATTTGATAGTGCCAGGATTGGTCCCATCATCCCTCTATATAAGGTCTCTCTTTGGTGGTGAAGATTCATATCCATAGGAAGACATCTTCTCTCTCATTGGATCAATAATGGTTTTCTTTGATTCGGGTACGCTATATATATATATCAATTTAATCTCATGTTCATGTGATTGAAAAATCCTATTGATCTAACAAGAATTAGCCAGTTTCGTGTAGGGAGACTAGCACAATAATCTTACCACCATGACCCTCCCACTTAAATCTAAATCACTTAAGATGCACAAATCAAACTACGAACATTGAATTCCTTAGTCGAAAATATGGAAATGCCTTCACTAATAAATCAATTTCAATGTGTGTCAAAGAGAGCACTAACTAATTTAGTGTACGTTGACTACATTGAGAGGTCCGAGTGATCTTTATAAGATAAAAAAAAGATAAATATCCATTATTTTCTAAGTAATATAAATTAGACAAGGGTATTCACACGTTTCTTTGACTAGAGAATTTTGATTAGAAAAAAAAATTCACGTATTAAAGATGGGAAAGTTTATCACGGGCGTCAAACGTCGAACCACTTGGGTTCCCTCAATAGAGTCCGGGTTCCCACCACCTTGAACAACGTCGCTGACAAAGACACCAAAGCTGGTCGTTCTAATCATCATTTCCCATCAATTATATCACATCGTACGTAAGTTACGAGCCCCGTAAGTTTTGACCCGACGGGAATAAAGACGAGAAGGAGCTGTAGGATTTTAAAAAGGGTTCTATACAATTTCACTTGAGACAAAAGCAAAAAAAAATTATTAAAAATTATCCAAGTTAGCATCGATCGTGTCACGCAGGACGGCCGGCATTTACATCGGCGATTTCTGGCCAGAATTGATGGACTCAATTGGCAAAATACGAAAATAATTTAAGACTCAATTAGCAAAAATTAAATATATTTAGGAATTTTTAAACTATTTCCCCCTAAATAGGTAGGTAAACTGTATTGCGATTGATCTTTAGTCAGAAAGACATAATTCTTTCTGATAATATAAGGGCGCGACCGTAAGTTAGACAAGACATCATTCGATCATTCCCAAACGGAGAATTAAATGCGCACACACTAACTAGGATTCGAAAGTCCTTTGAAAAAAGAAGAAGAATTGCACGAATTAAAGTACGCTCCACCTTCGACCGAAAAAATAAAGTACGCTCCATCAAATTTGAGACGTACGTAACGTTTCAAAAAGACATTGACGGCTTAGATGGTTTGTCCTTGCATGAGCATTTGTAACTATCACCATGGGATGAGACTATATGAAATGGACCGACCGATGATTTTCGTCCAGCGGATCGGGAGAGAATTATGATTTGAACTCTGCTTGTCAATTTGTCAAACGTGGGAAGATTTCAACGAGAAACGAGGTTGGTTTTCTTGGCAAGTTGCAAATGTCTTGCACTAGGAACTCACATGTGTGGACACGACCTTTCTATTTGGCTAAGGTTACTGTGTCTCGTAGTGAAAAAGCATAAATGGTTTTCTAGATTGTAGAAAATTGATGGGACTAGCTAGGGGAAAAGCAACGTTACATCATGGCCCCTACTTAAATCCGAGTCTCCCTGAGCGCATGAATCAGACTACAATCATCGATTCCTTAATCGAAAGTATGAAAACGCACTTGCTACTAAATTAATTCTAGGGTGGGTCATTTAATTTAATACACGTCGAATATATTGATAAACCCAATTGATCTTTACAAGATTAAAGATGAAAATACATCAATTTCTGAATAATATAAATTGGACAAGGGTATTCACATGTTTCTTTGACGCAGTAATAAACTTTCCTTTCTATTTGATCCGTCCCATCGGTAAAGTTACATCCAACATAAGTTACAACTTACAAGCCCATGCTTTTGACATGACGGGAGTATATTTATGTTTTTGGATCGATCTAACTTCTTAATAAAGACGAAAAGGAGCTACACGATTTCGAAGTTCCTACTCATGTTCTTTGTCATCTAGGCCTCTAGTACTCAGTGAGAACGAATCATCGAGATCAATTTGTCCCTTATCTTTTTACCTTTAAAGAGTATTTCCAAAATCAAGGATACAATTTCACTTGCGATAAAAGTAGCATCAATCTCATAATTGCCGAGTCGAGTTACTACACAAAACAATAACCCGCATTTCAAGATCAATTGCACTGCCAGAACATGAAGTATGAAAGGTATCATGTACGTCAACAAACTTGAATGAGACTTGTTGACACATATTTTAATTGGCCCAAAAATTAATTACACAAAATTTAGAAATTAATTTTCTTTAATTCCTAAAACAAAAAAATATTTCTATTTAAATGCATTGCATATAGAAATTAGGTACATTTGCACTAATAGAGTCTATTATAGAGTTCAAAAAAAAAAAAATCGAGTCGGGCCGGGTCGGAGCTGGGCCGACCCGGCCCATTTCTTTTTCCCTTTCCCCCCGGGCCCGGACCCTTTTCCTTTTCTTTTTTCCCCTCCGCGGGCCTTGGCCCGTTTCTTTTTTTCTTCCTTTTTTCCCCCCGCAGCTGGGCCTAGCCCGGCCCAGCCCTTCTCCTTCCTTCTCCCCCATCACTCTCGCTGCCTTGTTCACCTCTGCTCACTGACGGCAGCATGACGCACGGCGGCGCCGCTCCTTGGCGTCCCTATCCGACCAGAGCAGGGCCGAAGAGGCACGCTGACGGGACTGGCATTAATGGCCAGTCCTGTCCTCCCCGTTTTCCCGGCCTCCCTTATCCCCTCTGCCCTCTCTTCTCCCTGTTCCTCTCTGCGCCTCATTGAACTGACCCCCCTGCTCTGCACCGGCCTAAATGGCCGCGAAAGTCGCGCGCCAGAGTAGGCCGGTGCAGGCCGTCGTCATTGCAGACGTAACGGAGCAGGGGGGCACCGTCGTCGCCGGCTATAAATAGCCACAGAGAGAGAGAGGCCGGTCGGCCATTTTTGAGAGAGAAACCGAGAGAGAAAAACAGAGAGAGAAAGAGAGAAAATAGAGAGATAAAGAGAGGAGAGTTGGTTTTTATAGGTTCCCAGCCGCGTCGCCATCGCCCCCCGATCAACCGGAAACCCCCCAGACGCGCCGTCAACGGTGAGCTCTCCCCCCGGCCCGAACCGCTCTGTTTTCCCCTGTTTTTGCTCCCAGTTTGGCCGGGACCTGCGCCGGCCGTTTCGTGCGAGTCCCGGCCCATACCGCCGTCCCCCGCCGTCCGTGCGTCGTCGCCAAAGGTAAGAACGGGTGTCCCGAGGACGGCGATGCCTCGAAACAGGTCGGGATTCCCTTTTTTTGCGCTGCTCACTGTCTGTTTGATAAAATGCCTCAAAGAGGCCGTTTTTTAATTACCTCACCGGCCGGCGAGCGACGGTCGGACGGCAACCCAGGTGGCCGACGAGGCTTGGCAGTGCTCCCAGAAGTTGATTTGAGGGGCGGCATCGGTTTGGGTAGGCCGGCGAGCGGCCGATTTCTGGTTTCTCCGGCGTCCGCGACCGTCGGATCGGCCTGACCCGGGTCAACGCCCCGGGTCGGGTCCATTGACCCAGGTCGGATCCGACCGACCTGGTCCCTTTTTATTTTATTTTATTTTTTTATTTTAAAATTTAAAAAAAATTAAAAAAAAAGATTTTCTTTTCTTTTTTTTCTTTTTCCTTCCTGTTTTTTTTTTATTTTAAAAAAAATTCGCATTTATTTTTTTATTAATTTTTTTTAAAAAATTTATGTGATATATTTGTTGATTTAATTTGTTGTGATATTATTATGTAAGTTTTTGTCTTGTTTAAATTAGACAAGCCTAAGGTTGCGCGGTAGTATTTTGCATGTTATTACCGTTGTATTATTATGCATGTTTTTAATACAATTACATAAGTTGTGTTTTGAATGTCATCTGACTTAATTAAGGTTAGAATCTTAGGCTGCATGAATTGTTGTGTTCCTGACTGCTAATCGTTTATGATTATGCACTCGCTTGATCACCTCACATGTTAGGATAAAGGTCCTAAAATCAATACAAATTGCTTGACAAATGTTTTCAAAATATGAACAGGGTAAAAAGGTACCGAAAGGGCATTAGTTAACTAACTAGTGTAACCAAGTCCCCGAACTCGGTTAATCTCTGGTTCGTAGGAATAGGGTGATTCTCCCATCACTTTATTTGGGTTTCTAATCGACCCACCCCAAATCGATTAGTGGCGACTCCTTGATATAAACCACTCGCATGTTAAATATTTAAACCCGAAGTCGCGATATGGTATGGACTTGGGAGAGCCCGAGTTAAGTCCTGAACCTAGACTTAACACATACCAGGCAAAACCCCCTCTTTTGCACATGTTCGATAAAAGAAGCGGGAGGTCGGTCGCGACAAGACTACATTAGCGTAGATTTGAGTATGATATGAATGCACAATTCACGTCTAATGTGAGTTGTATTCGAAAGAAAATCTTATAACAATAATACCTTAATCGATTTGGTATAGATGGGTTGAATGTTTTTTTTCTGACACTTTCCCATTTTATCAAGATAGCTAACACGATTTGTCCAATGGACCCGATTTCATGGTGCAATTATACATTCTTCGTTTTGTGATGGGAATTACAACATCCACACGAGGGCATCGTAAAAAAAGTTAACTTAAGTACATAAAACTATCCGACCAAAAAAAAAAGTACATAAAACTATATTTTTTAACGTGATCATCAAGCTTGCTTAAAATCATGCCAAGATGGAGTTCTATTACACGATGCGCATGTAGAATCATTGTGAAAATGGTCAAATATATATAACAATATATAATTTTAGAAATAATATGAGATTAAAAGATGAAGATGGAATGTTATAGATGATTAAACAGAAATTAAATTAATGGAGTAGTTGAGAGGATGAGAGAGTATAATTGAATGGCTAATCCCGCTTTTTTCCTTCTAAAAACTGGACTTGATGTTGTCTGGTTATAGAAAGTCGTGTGGTTATAGATGGTTCTGTAACCTGTCAACGTTAAGCACAGTAACATGCAGATTAGACATGTGTAATCCTTGGAGTAGAACCTTCTATAACCATTCGACGTTAAGCACTGTTTGCACATACCCTTCAAGAATATCTCCCATCATTTCTATTCTCTCTTTCTATATATATAACCCTTCGAGGAGATCTTCCATCATTTCTCCTCTCTCTCTCTCTCGTCAAAGCTTATCCAAGACCAGCTCGAGCGCACGAGTCCAAGAGAGTGAAGAAGGGCCCCAAGAGAGAGGAAACGGTGGCTCAGATGATCGACAAGGTGTTCACGATATCGATGCTACTGACATGGAATGTGGTGAGACAGGAAGATCTCAAACCTGGGGATCACATCTATACTTATCGGCTATATGGCTTGTACACCCATCATGGTTAGTGACTCACCATCGTCTTCTTCCTTTTCCATTATCCTTATTATCTTTTCTTAACGTGGTTATGTGAAGTGGCTCGACTAAATTATCCTTTCTTATCTTTCGTTTTTGGCCAAAGAACAGTAGTTGTGCGTGCTTGATAGATCATTTCAGCATTATCTTGCTGTTGTCTTCTTCTTTTCGTTTCAAGGGCTGTTCATATTGTGAGGTTTTGTTCATTTGGATTGCACGTGGATTTCCATAAGAGGCAAGTCACAAAACCATGAACAGTTCATGGTTTGGATATCCATATCTATTCGCTTCTCATTCCCTATTTACAATTTGATTGGGTATTATTTGGAAAACTGATTCTTTTTCTATATTGCATACTCATTATTGATTATAACAGGAATCTATGTTGGAGAGGGCTATGTGATTCACTTCACAAGAATGGGAGTCGACAAGACGAGTCTCGATTGCTTCCGGCGAGAAGGCGAGAAACTCCATCCCCTCCACTCATATGCATATGGGCGGCCACCACTAGAGTATTGGCTGACGAGATGGGGGACTTGCACAACCTTGCCCGTTACCAAATCCCCCCAAGAAGTCGTGAACAAGGCTCGCGAGCTTCACAAGGGCGACGGTTTTGGCGAGTACGATCTCATAAATAACAACTGCGAGCATTTCGCCTCGTTTTGCCAGACCGGCGTTCGGGCAAGCGCACAGACAGCACTGGTCGGTGCTTGCAAGGGAAAAATCAAGAAAGCCAAAGAATGGTTGGCAATTTATATTGCAATTGATCTTTAGTCGGCAAGATATATTTCTTTATGATAATGTAAAGGGCACGACCATAAGTCAGACAATATATCGCTCAACCATTCCCAAATGGAGAATTAAAATGTGCACACACTAATTAGGATTAGATAGTCATTTGAAAAAAAAATTACATGAATTAAAGTACGCTCAATCAAATTCGAACCAACAATGAAACGCCAGGAGAGAATTATGATTGGAACTATGCTCGTCATTTTGTCAAATGTGGGAAGATCGAGTTCAACGAGAAACAAAGTTGGTTTTCTTGTTGCACAACTTGCACTTGAATTTCATGTAAGTATTCTTACAAAGTTATGGTATAGGCTTCAACCACAAGTTTCAAATGTGCCGTGCTAGGTACTTAGATGCGTGGATCCCACCTTCTATTGGGCTAAGGGTAATGTGTCGTGGTGAAAAAGGATAAGATGGTTTTGTAGATTCGTGAAAAATTGATGGAACTAACCCAGGGGAACTAATAGGGAGAGACATTACCGAATATTCAAACAAGGCTAATTCTTTTTCCTCTTTTTATAATTCAAGAGCACTGTTATAATTAGCCGGTCTCGTGTGTAGCGGAACTAGCACGGCAACCCATCATGGCAACCCTCCCACTTAAATATAAGTTACTTAAGGCACATGAGTCGAACCACAACCATTGATTCCTGAATTGAAAATATGAAAACACCCTCACTGTTAAATTAATTTTCGGATGGGCCGAATAAATGGCGCTAATTAAGTCAGTACACGTGGTACACATTGAGAGGTCCGAGTAATCTTCACAAGATAAAAGATGAATATCCATCAATTTCTACATAATATATATTGGACGAGGATATTTACACGTTTCTTTGACTAGAGAGCGTTTGTTAAGAAGAAAATTTCCATGTGTGAAAGATGGGAAAGTTCATTACGGCGTCAGTCGTCGAACCAACACGGGTTTCCTTAATAGAGTCAAAAGTTCCACCACCTATGCTCAACGTCGCTGACAAAGACACTAAGGAGACGGTTCGTTCCATTCATGATGTTCCCATCAATCAAGAGACGGCAACGTAATTTATATGAGCCCGTACTTTTGACACGACGGCAAAGTTCTTGTGCGTTGACTCAAATGTTCGTGCGCATCAAACGGACTTCTCAATAAAGACGAAAAGGAGCTATACAATTTCAATGATTTTAGGCCTCTAGTACCCGGTGAGAACAACCACTCGAGATGAGTTTTCAAATCTATTAAATGAGTGGGAGATACATCGATCGATCGATTTGTCTCTTATCTTTTTTACCCTTAAAGAGCGTTTCTTGATGTCAAGGATGCAATTTCACTTGAGATAAACATAGCATAGTCATTAGACGGAATAATAACCCACATTTCAAGATAAATTCCAATGCCTTCTCATGAAGTATGAAAAAGTATTACATATGTCAACAAACTTGAGCGAGGCTACATTAGTAGAGATTTGAGCATGATATGAATGCACAATTCACGTATCATGTGAGATGTATTCGAAAGAAAATCTTATAACAGTACATTGATTGATCCGGGATAGATGGGTGGAATTTTTTTTTTGACAAATGATTGATGAAACATTACTAATTTCCCATTTTATGAAGATAGCTAACATGATTTGTCCAGTGGACCCAATTTCACGATGCAATTATACATTCTTGTGTTGTGATGGGAATTACCACGTCCACATGAACGCATTATAAAAAAAAAGTCAACTTAAGTACATAATAATATATTTTATAATGTGATCAAGCTTGCTAAAATTATGCCATGAACAAAATCGAGTTCTATTACGCAGCGTGTATGTAGCATCATTGTGAAAATAGTCAGATGTACAAAGATATATAATTTTAGAAAGAAAATGGAATAATATAGATGATCAAACAGAAACTAAATAATGGAGTGGTTGTGAGGATGAAAGTATAATTGAAGGGTTAATCCCTCTTGTTTTCCCTTCTAAAAGCTAACACGTCTAGATTTGATCGAATTACAAAGGGAAAAATTGTAATAGCAGTGAGATGGTCACTCGACTTGCTGTTGTCTGGTTATAGAAAGTCGTCCGGTTATAGAAGGTTCTATGTAACCTGTCAACATTAAGCACAGCAACATGCAGATTAGACATGTGTAATCCTTGGAGTAGAACCTTCTACTATGACCCTTCAACATTAAGTTTTGAATATAGACGCCTTTCGAGTATATCTCCCATCATCTCTCTCTCTCGTCAAAGCTTATCCAAGACCAGCCTGAGCACACGAGTCCCAGAGAGTGAAGAAGGGCCCCAAGAGGGAGAAAATGGTGGCTCAGATGATCAACAAGGTGTTCACGGTGTCGATGCTACTGACCTGGAATGGGGTAAGAGAGTCCCGTAACTAGAGGCGGCAATATGAATCACAAACACATATATTAACTCAGATGTAGTGGGTCTAGATTGAATATGAGTCACTTAAAATTTTAAAGTGGATCAAAATGGATTTGAAACATTAAAGTTTAAGTTTATATGGGTCTATATGGATTTGCAACAAACTCATATTCAACCTATTTAACAAACCTATATAGACCCATCTAACTTATTTAACTCTTTTTTGGACAAATATAATTTATTAACTTGAACCGCCGTTTGTCGGTCGCCGCCGCCGCCGATTGCCTACTGCCGTCTCTGGTCACTGCCACTGCCGGTTGTCCCGGTCATTGCCGTCTCCAGTCACCGGTATCCGCCAACACTAGTCATTGCCGTCACCACCAGTCGTTGCCGTCGCCCGTTGGTTCCATGAAATTAGTCCCCAATCCCTATAAAATTGCATTAATCAATTAATAGAACACATAGTAAGAAGCAACAGTCCGCTTTGCCATCTCCACTCGTCCTTCTCTCAAAACCCCTTGAACTCAAAACGCTTCAACCAATCAAACTCCCCACATTACCAACACCTGTGCGGGAAACTTTGTCGAGATCGAAACTGCGCACTCCAAACGCAACTCGAAGGAAATGCTGATCGCTGCTCCTCAATACCGTGGGCACAAAATCCGAAGAAACCTAAGAGAAACTATAGCGTGAGAGAGAAAGCATTCGCCGACTATAGGTAGGAAAATCGTAGGGGAAGATGACAAACAAGATTGACGTTTTACTAAGATGCCTCAGTTCATTCCATCCAAGGATTGCCACGCAAGAGAGAGAGGGAAAATGAGGGGGAAACAGCGAGAAAATGAGGGAAAATGCGGGAAAAATGAGAGAAAATCACAAAGGAAGGGGATCAGTCGCAAAGAGCGAGAGAGACAGAGTGAATGTAGAATGTTACGAACAGGAGGCATGAAAGAGAAAATAAAAGGGAAAAGGCTCACTTTCACTTATAGATTTTTTTAAATATATACCGATCCGGTCCGGGTGGGTGGATGGGTGGGCAAACCAAGAATCGGCAGGTACTCACCAGTTCCAGTAAATTGGAATCGGGAATCGGACTGGTCTCTGCAAGAATCGCCGATTCCAGGCCGGTTCAGTCTGATTCTGGGCGGTTCTTAGTTTCTTTGCACACCTCTAACTGCAACCCTCGCCAGATTTAGAAGAAAAAAAAGAAAAAGAAAGAAAGAAAAATAAAATATAAAAAAAATTATAAAAATTGTCAACTAGCATGAAAGTATTTTAGTAATATAATTTTTTTAAAAATCATGAGAAGCATTTTTCTATATTTGGTTAAATATGAAAGTGTTTAAGTAATATGAGTTGAGTATAGGTCGAAAAATTTGCATTGCACTAAATGGGTCATAAACGGGTTAAATATGTCAATTTAGGTCAGATCATTTATAACTTGAACCAAACCCAACCCGACCCACCCATTTGATAGGTTTAGTCGTAACCTTCCCAAAGGTGAACTACTAATGAGAAAGCTAAGTCCAAAGACTAAGTACAGGTTCTCCTAAACCTATATCAACCGCAACTTTCGGATTTTAATCAAATCATTTAAACATGCAAATTAATTCATTTAGGAGTCTCCATTAATCAATTATTAGTAGGTCAATTAGACACCTAACTTGAAGGAGGCCACGTCAACATAAATTTGAGCATGATATGAATGCACAATTCATGTATCATGTGAGATGTATTCGAAAGAAAATCTTATAACATTACATCAATCAATTCGGATGGATCAATTTTTTCTTTGACAAATGATAGATGGGTTGAATTGGAACATTACAAATTTCCCATTTTATCAAGATAGCTAACATGATTTTTTCAGTGGACCCAATTTCATTGTGAAATTGACTGTACATTATTGTGTTGTGATGAGGATTACCGCATCCATATGAACGCACCATGAGAAAGTTAACTTAAGTACATAAAAATATATTTTTTTGACGCAACCACGGTTAATAAATTCAGGCTTGCTAAAGTTATGCCAAGATCGAGTTTTATTACACGATGTGCATGTAGCATCGCTGAGGAAATTGTCAGATACATAACACTATATAATTTTAGAAATAATATGAAATGAAATGAAGAAAATGGAATACTATAGATGATCAAATAGAATAGTGTAATTGAAGGGTCAATCCCTCATTTTTCCCTTCTAAAGAAAGCCCTCTTAACGTCTAGATTTTATCGAAGTAGAACCTTCTACCTTAAGCCTTCAACATAAAGCACAGTATATGGAGATTGGACATGTGTAATCCTTGGAGTAGGACCTTCTACTATAAGCCTTCAACATGAAGCACTGCATATACACACCCTTCCAGTAAGAGTATGTCTCCCATCATTTCTCTTCTCTTCTCCCTCTCTCTCTCTCTCTATGTATATAACCTTTCGAGTAGATCTTCCATCATCATCTCTCTCTCGAGCTCTCGATGTCAATCTCGAGGGAAAATGGTGGCTCAGATGATCGACAAGGTATCCGCAGTATTGATGCTACTGACATGGAATGTGGTAAGACAGCAAGATCTTAAACCTAGAGATCACGTCTATACGTATCGGCTATATGGCTTATACGCCCATCATGGTTAGTGATTCATCCTCCTCTTCTTCCTTTTTCATTATCATTTTAAGTTCTTATGGTTATGTGAAGTGGCTCGACTAGATTATCCTTTCTTATCTTTCGTCTTTTGCCAAAGAACAGTAGTTGTATGTGCTTGATGGATCATTTCAGCGTCATCTGGCCGTTGTCTTCTTCTTCTCTTTTCAAGGGCTGTTCATATTGTGAGAATTTTTTTCATTTCGATTGCACGTGGATTTCCATAAGAGACTAGTCACAAAACCGTGAAAAGTTTATGATTTGTATATACACATCTATTCGCTTCTCATTCCCTTTGGAAACTCGCTTCCCTTTTTATATAGTGCACACACTCATTATTGATTATAACAGGAATCTACGTGGGAGATGGCTACGGAATTCATTTCACAAGAACGGGAGTCGACAAGACGTGTCTTGATTGCTTCCGGCGAGAAGGCGAGAAACTCCATTCCCTCCACTCATATGCATACGGGTGGCCACTACTGGAGTATTGGCTGACGAGATGGGGGACTTGCACAGCCTTACCCGATACCAAATCGCCCCAGGAAGTTGTGAACAAGGCTCGCGATTTTCACGAGGACGACGGTTTCGGCGGGTACGACCTCATCAATAACAACTGCGAGCATTTTGGCCCGTTTTGCCGGACCTACACTCGGGCGAGCACGCAAAAAGCAATGGTCAGTGCTTGCGAGGGAAAAATCAAGAAAGTGAAATAATGGGCCATAAAGCTTCTGCAGGGCATCAAGTTCGAGTGACCCAAAAATTTGTGGGTAAAATCGACATGGTCCACATTTTAAACTTTGGGCATGGACAGGTAGTTCACAGACAAGTTCTTTACGGCCCAGACAATCAAATGCACTCAAAGACACGACACTTGATGAAGCGAGAGATGCAGAACACACAACAGACGCAAAAGTGCTACAACAATTTCCCATCCAATCCTTATACATGAAAAATTGTTGTCTCTACAAAGTTACAAGATCTATGTACAGAGCAATTATTGACAAAGTGCGTCGAATAATCGCCGTGCCGGAGACATGTCAAGAAAAGGACTGCAATGTTTCTCCAAGAATTCAAAAGTGCCTCGTTGGATGGCTCGGCGACATCCAAACCATTCACTAAGAGGACCGTGGAATTCTCTATATTAACTAAACCTTTCCTCCAAGAAGAATGTGAATAAGCTTACGCCGATTTCTAGGATGACTCAACATAACTTATCAGGGCTGCTGCTGAATAGTTACAACAGAGACCTTGATAACTTACTCTACGTTATCCGCGTGATGTAAATCTCACCTTATTTTTTTTTTGGTCGAAATTCCACCTTATTTGATGTTATATTTATACGCATCTTCCTTTTAATTGGTTGACTATACCATCTCATATCGGACATAAACTATATTCAAGTGAGGTAGGGTCGTCCATGATGGAGCCTCCTCTGACTTGGGACAGTTGAAAGAGGAAGGCCTGTTACTATCTACCATGTATGTGCGGGATTTAGGCTCCGCTTGTTTTACGAAAAATAAATTATTTAAAAAATATTTTCTCAAAAACAATCATTTGTATTGTTTAAAAAAATGAATGGACAATAAATATTTTCATTATCTACGAAAATATTTAAACATAAATTGTTGTCAATAATAAAAATATTTTCCATTGACTAATTGAAAACACCACACGTGTGTCTTAAGAAGAGAGCGAGAGCGAATTTCTTTTCTTTTTTTTTTCCTTCTCTCTTTTTTCTCTTCTTCACTCTGCCACCATCATGCACAGTGTTTTGTGTGTGAACACAGGGGTGCCAAAAATATTCGAACCGAACCAGTTTGTCATATGTTAACTTGATCATTGAGTAGGCTCGAACCGCTCGCCATGACTCTTACACTTGAAGGCGGGGGCGGGTTTCGGCGCAATCGTGGCGGCTCAGACCTTCTCTCTGTCTCTCTCAATGAGACACCAATAAACCCACAACTTAAAATTGAAGTATGGACGGACTACCAGCCCGACATGGGACAATGAAGTGAATCAATCGGCCTAGCTATAGCCCATATACAAAAGCATTTTGGCCCAGCCAGACATGACACGCACACAGGATCAAACTACCTTCTCTTCTGCGGCAAAACTAACTTTATTTGCTCAACTGAACTATGTAAGGTTACGAGTCTGTGTATCCTGTTCTTAGTATTACGCTAGCAGAAAGCAATTATTGATAGTGCGTGTGTCAAAGAAATGCCATGGCCAGTACATATCCATAAAAGGAATACGTTTTCCCCAAGAATTAATCCAATGCCCCGTCTGGATGGTCCGGAAATATCCGAAACATTCGACCTGAGGACCTTGGACTCACTACAATGACTGCCAGACCTCCCCCACCCCAAAAGAATAATACAAATAGTATCAGAGCCGATTCCTAGCACGACTGAACATATCTGGCCAGGCTTGCTGAGTCACTACGACAGTGACATGGATAACCTATACTGCTTTACAAAATCTAAATCCTGAAATGGAAGGAGAAAAGTAGTCGCCTGGACAAACAGCATTTACATAGAGTAAGGACGATGAAGCTGCAGTGAGAGGAGGTGATGAATAAAGAATGTGACCATGCCTGTGAAACTTTGCTGAGTTGGGATCAATTGTCTAGGCACCAGTTTTTTCCATCAGCTGCAAACTAATTTTTTCTAGTGTTTTCACAACTTCGTTCATTGATGGCCGGTACTTGGGCAAAATTTCAAGACATTGGAGTGCGAGTGCAGCTACGTCACGAGCATCCTTAAGACGATATCGCCCGTCCAACCGAGAGTCCATGATTCTTGTCAATTTCCTTTTAGAAAGATGAGGCTTGACCCACTCCACCAAAATCCGCCGATGAGTCGGACGATTTGCATCGTATGCTCGCATCCCCGTCAAAAGCTCAACCAGTACAACCCCAAAGCTATAGACATCACTCTTTACATACAAATGACCTGTTCAACCAGAATAATGTGATAATCTAACATGAGTTGCAATGTTCTTGGCAATGATCACCCCAAGCAATTCAGAAAGCCCATCATATTACCTGTGGCTATGTACTCGGGTGCTGCATAGCCCAAAGTTCCAATAACCTGTGTTGACACATGTGATCTGCCTTCATCTGGACCATTTCTTGCCAACCCAAAATCTGATATTTTGGCATTATAGGACTGTCGAAACACATGCCAAACAAAAGGTCAAAGTGGATAAGGTCTCTTTTCTACTGCTAGTGTGATCTATGTATTAATGAACTTGGACTATGCAGATTTAATAAGCTTAGCTTGGGCCAATGATTGGTATTATAAACTAACTACAAACAGAGTAGCTTGGGATTATACATTTTTAAACGGCCATAACAACAAAGCCTCCCGACCAAAAAAGAAGGAAAACATACATGGAAGTAAGATCTGGCGAACAAGGTTATGCGTCATTTTGAAGATGCTTTGCAATGATAGCTCCCATGTTTTATGTGAAAAACTTGACAGAATGAAAGCCTGAAATCGTGAGGTTTCAAATTCTTGCTGCTTCCAGAATGGCAAGAGAGGATTGTGGAAAGAGGGATGTTGCAAACATATGTGCATTATTTCAGCACAGGAGAAGACTTGGAACCAAATTTTAAATGTAACAACAATGTGTTATTGCTTAATTTAATCTAAACAACGAACATGTACTTACTGAGTCCAGCAATATGTTTGAGGACTTGAAATCTCTGCAGATTATTTGCCTCTCTAACTGGTGCAAGAACGCAAGACCTCTGGCTGCTCCTATTGCAATTTTAAGCCGCGTGGCCCATGGAAGTGGATCCATAGTCCGGCCCCCTGCAACAGGAAAGACACTTGATTCATATAGTACATTGAACCAAGAAAAGATCGTATTTGCCATAAATTCAAAGCCAGGATCTATATATCACCCAAGAAAGAACCTTACTTCGAAAGAGGTGGTTCTTTAGGGTACCCTTTGGCATGAACTCATAGACAAGAAGTAGTTCATTATCCTCCAAACAATATCCCAGTAGTCTGACAATGTTTGGATGAGATAAGCTGCCCAGGAACTTCACCTCTGACTGCAAAAAGTCATCACTCCCAGATCAAAATAGGGCAAGACCTCATAATTTCTCATTTTATTTAAGTATAACGAAGTAAACAAGCATAACCTGGAGAAAGAGAGAGGAGACAGGACGATGTATTTATGTGATAAGAAATAGAAGAAACCCACAAGGGCACCCTAAGAGCCATCTGGCATGGATGCACCCTAAGAAATTTAGATGGTAGCAAATAATCTGAGATAAAAACTGGGATGAATATCCAATGATGCATCATCACACCTGTTCAATAGTAAATCCTGACATGTGATCCGCAGGGTTGAATTTCAAATGCCTTGCTTTAAGCACACAACCTCATATTCATGAAAACAAACAAAGGAGCAAGCAAATCTTAAGTGCTTGACCTATTTATAAAGCAAGTAATCACCCCTCACATGATTTTGACATTGGCAATGACTATAGAGGATAAAATTGATGGCTGTAAGGGTGACCATGTAGAGTCTAAAACATAGAATCAGATGAGCTCCGATATGCAACATGATAGAAAAGAATGCACTCATCTTGTGTTGTGCACAGTAGATGTCCACCTTCCAAGAAAGACAATAGCATCTCGAGTGATGATCAATTTTGAAAATTTAAATGCTGGCTAATTTATGTGGAGGCTCAGTCCCTCCCTCCTCATCTTTTACCTTTTGAAAGACTTGTATGCTAAATAACATGTACTGTCATTTATTAGGTGACTCACAAAAAGTAAATGGCAGGATCTTATTTATTCTTTCAAGGATAATGGAGCAGAAAAGTTATGTCCAGTTTCTCCTACTGTAGCATAAGTTTGGACTCAAACAATTTTTTTACCTCACTTTCAGGGCCGGTCTGCATATTTTTCCACAAATAGATAATCCTCACTAAGGCTGATTTTAGTTCCTAGCACTATGTTGAGAAATTACAGAGTAAACAGCACTAACATCATAGAACTCAAATTGGGATTTAATGTTTCAGGTACATTGTAGTTTAATCCTCCGAGTTTAGCTTATAAGGCTAGGATATAAGTCATAATATTTCTGATGCAGGGCATAAAGTCCTTCTCTGGGATGCAAGAAGAGTCCCTACATTTTGAAGCTTACAAGCCATCATGGGACTTTACTATATTACTTATAAACAATGAAGATGATTCAGAAGACATTTCTACTCCAGCTCTCAAGGATCTAAGATATAGAACCAAAGCTGGCTAGCTTCTCTCCTCCACCTACTTGTTTCCTCCACTTCCACACTGTTTGGAAGCTGGAAAATAAACATACATGCAATATGCACTGCACACCATAGGCATATTAATAGTAGGACAAGATTGTGGAATCTCAAGATTTAGATCAAGAGCACAGTTTCTCATTTAAGGTATTTATTGATCAAATGGTCATAGGATTTACAGTAGCTTTCCTTCCCATCCACACAACCCCTCACAGCCGCTCAGATGTGCTTTCCAAAACGGATATGCCTCAACCATTTGTCTCTCATGGCTTTTCATCCCGCTAACCTGTTCAGCAAATCTTTGAAAACAGCTCTTCTCAAAATGTTTTGACTATTTGAAGGTCTAATTGTACATGCTTTTGGAAACTTATATGGGCCATATATTTCACCCAGCACTGTGCCTGCTGTATTGACTGGAATAGAGATAAAATAAACCTTGAAAATTAATGGCACCAGGCACAGGATAAGCAAATTTTTACCATTGCATGTCTAGAAAATACTTGCAATAACCCCAGAAGTCCTTGAAAACGGAATCTCACAAGATTTTTTTAATGTTTTTTATGTGGACTTGTCCCATAAAATGGAAAAGCAAGGCCACTTTTCTCCAACCTTTTGCCTACAAATGCTCCTGGTCACAGGACAAGCCACGGACCCTAAATAAAGGATAAGAGGAGCACGCAGTCTTATCCTAAATAATGCAATCCTAAACAGAATAATCTGGTCCACATCATTGGTAAAACCCCAGAGATATGTGTTCGGTTGGGCAATGACGTATATTCTTGGAAGGAAGAAAGCAAACTAAGATAGTGAGCTTCAAATGAAAATAGCCGGACAAAACCAGAACAATCTCTCCCCAAAAAAGGCCACTAACATCTATCATCCCGTTCTCATTGTTTTACAACAAACCACATATCTGGACAGTATACTTCTCCCACCATCATAATAGAGCTTCTTGCTACAAATGCAAAGTGATAACATTTAATTCTGTAAAGCACATGCAACCCGAGATTTCCAGAGAGGAACTAAGATTACCTCACATTCGTTGAATCCTTGCATGCCCTCTTGGTGCAACCTTTTGATGGCAATTGGATTCATTCTCTTCTCATCAAGGTGGCCTTTGAAGACTCTACCAAAACCACCCTCACCGAGAAATGCATCAGGTCTGAAGTTTCTCGATGCAACTTTCAGCTCTGCAAAACTAAAGACCCTAGTATCTGAAGTGGGAGCAACAAAACCATTTGGAATAGACTCATTCAATGTCCCTCCCAAGGTCCTGCTAAGGGCATCCTCAGAAGACGACGAACTGCTTATAGTCAGAACAGATCCTCCTGTGATTACACAAGTGAAGAGAAAACGGTGAAGAAATTGCCATGAGCTGAAGACAGATGCTAGAGACAAGCGGGAACTAATTGAGTTTTAGAGATGTCAGCTGATGGGAAATGAGTTAGTTAGTGTAGTTAGAATCTGAAGTTGCTATTGGACATGTATATTAGCATACTCTTTGATAATCTGCTTTCTCTGTAAGTTGAGGCTTGCATGAATTTCAGGATAAATCAGAAAGCAGGAGCACGATAACTATAAAAACATGCAGAATATCTAGAAGATGTACAGCTAGGATTCAATCTCTTGCATTGAAACTCTGACACCATGTTAAACTGCCCTTCATTTCAGCCGCTCAAAATGTTGGGAATGAGTCCATCTTGTATATCAAACATTTTCCATAAGTATGCCATGACCAATATGTTTCATTGTCATAGCAAATGCCTTCATCTTTTCCTTGTTCAGATCCTCTCTTTCAATCAGATTATTCTCATTTCTCGCCTCAATTCCTTTCTAATTTTCTTTTACCTCAGAATTCTAGCTAAAGCATCAAAACTCAATTCTATCCATCCAATGAAATGCCCGATCCAAATGTGAAGGGTAACAAAGTCCAACCACAGGAGGAAGTAAAATCAAAATTCTGTAGCAAAAGTTCCTACATGCTAACTCAAATCCAACAATAACAACTAAAATATCAAAGCTTTAACCCGTGGAATCACAATTAGAAGTCCAGAATTATCATAAGGGGACAAAAAAAACCTGCATTCTCAGGAAAGGACCAGCTGCAGATCACATCCTATAAACGCACGAGCCATGGTGAAAAAGACACCAAATGAAAACAAAACAAGAAAGCAAGCAAGAAAAGAATTGCAGAGCAAACAAGGGAATTACCAGGCCTAAGATGACCAGTGAAGCTAGGAGTTGGGTAGTCAGGAACTCCCCAGCAAATTCCCATCGGATGATTTATCTTCCCTCCTCCTCAAAACAGAGCTTCAACAGCACAAGAAGAAGATGGGTAAGTGTGAAAGGAGGAAAAGGGCTCTTTGTCCCCTGGTGCTGATCATGGTTCATGAACCAGTATCATTCGAATCGTTTTTGTCAAATCTTACAAACAATTTCGATTCATGGGTGTCTCATTTCTTCGCTCTTTCTCTCTCTTTATTTTCAATTTTATATTCTTTTGGTGCGATGATAAATTAAGAGGAAGGAGAGGATCATCTTCTTTGACTTGTGTTGCTCGGATTCCGCTGGTTCAAGTCGCTGACTTCGAGTCCGCGTGGGGAAGGAGGCAAGAAAGCGAGGGAAACGGGCGAGAGGAAACGGAATTTTAACTGTCCGAACTTCAGTAAAATATATTGATGTCGGAAAATTCGATGGTAAGGGAGGAAAAAAATTTAACGTCGGATGGCCGCAGAAAAAAAGGGTTAATATCGTGAAGAACCCCGAACAGGTACATCTATGACAAATTTATTCAAACTAATTTTTTAAACATCAAAAACCACAAACTAGTACATTTGTGACAAATTTAACCTCCGTTAGTTTATGTTAAATTGGATTAATACCACAAAGTAGTAGACTTGTAACAAATGGAGTGTAAAACCCCAAATTGGTACACCAGTAGACTACCACGAATCATCCAGCTTAGTAATTTGACGGTAAAATTCAACAGAAACTAACAAATGATAAATTTGTCATGAGTGTACCAGTTTGGGATTTTTTGTGGTCAGAAAATCAGTTTGGGGTAAATTTATCACAGATGTATCAATTTGAGGTTTTTCGTGAAATTATCCCTGGAAAAAATAGTAATTGACAAACATTTAAGAAAAAAAATCACTATAAAATTGTCAATTTTACTGTTAATAAGAAAAATTCCAATTCATGGAGATAATTACTCAATAATAGGGCTCTTAAATCTACGAACTGTAAAGACAAATGTTATGATCATTGAGCTAAGTTACTGAGAACTGGGAAACAAAACTTACCGTAAATTTAAGTTGTTTACGATATTTGAACCATGCGAGACTTTGAGATAAAATTGTAATACTCGAAGGATGATTGCCAACTTAAAAGTAAGTTCATTAGTTATAAATGAAAATGAGTTATGACGATTCAAAATAAATTACGACCCATAAAGTTTAGTTATCATCTCATACTAGACCCGTCCCGGACCCAAAAAGCGCCCTTTCGATTCTAGTCCTAATTTACTTGTTCTTGAGATGGAAACATGACGGACAAAATTGGCAGAATTCGATCCAACTCTATGTAATACTGACATGTAATTTTGCACGATTTAAGGGTCATTTGCTTTTGGAAAAATCGGAGGGTAATTTAATTTAAAAAACAAAAATATTTGTTCATACTTTATAGGGAAAATGTCAAATAAGGACCCAAAGTGGGTCTCTTTTCTCAAATAAGGACCCCAAGTGGACAATGTTTCAATTAAGGACCTAAAGTACCAAAACTAGTCTCAAATAAGGACCCAGCTCACCGGCCGGTCAAATGTTCGCCAGCCGGCAACCGTGAGACATTTTCCGGCACAGGAATAGGGGCAATTTTGTCTTTTTCTTTTTTTTTTCTTTTTTCTTTTTTCTTTTCTCTCTTGTGGCCATCACCGGCGACGTCCGCCGGCCTCAGGCGAGCGCCGCCGTCGCCGGCAGGGCAGGCAAGGGTGGCTCTCACCCGCCCAGGCGAGGGCAGCCGTCGCCCGACGTCGGCAAAGGCCGCCCTCGCCCACCCAGGCGAGGGCCCCCCTCACCCACCCCGCAAACGATGACGGCCCTCGCCTGAGGCCGGCGGACATCGCCGGTGATGGCCACAAGAGAGAAAAGAAAAAAGGAAAAAGAAAAAAACAAAATTGCCCCTATTCCGACGCTGGAAAATGTCTCACGGTCGCCGGCCGGCGAACATTTGGCCGGCTGGCGAGCTGGGTCCTTATTTGAGACTAATTTTGGCACTTTGGGTCGTTAATTGAAATATTGTCCACTTGGGATCCTTATTTGAGAAAAGAGGCCCACTTTGAGTTCTTATTTGACATTTTCCCTACTTTATATTGAGTAACACTCCCTTAGCATGGGCACCCGATCTTATACATCACAATAGTCAGAAACTAATTTAAGTTAACATTAGTTTTGTGCCGTCGAGATTTCAAATTTCCAAATCGCTGCAGCTTTTCGTATACCATAATTTCCGCCTTCGGCTTGTATTGTTACTTCCATGTTCAATAAACTGTTTACAGATTGAGCCTAGATTATTGTGCTTGATTTGTAAACTTGATCCTGCCTTCAATTGACTGTTATCTTTTTTCAGGGAAAAGAAGAAATGATAACAAAACAACTCGACATGTCTTAGCTGAACCATGAATAGCACCAAATGACATATCTTGTTCATTCTGAACGAATGGACAACTGAGCAGCTATTTGCTTCCATCGATAACCCAACCATGCCTCAGAGCTCAAAAATCACTGTGAGAATCGGACCAAACCGTATAACACTTGCTGGAGATTGAATTTGGACCGAGTACCATATTAACAAATTCACGACAGCAATAAAAAGGAGCTTCTCCTGATGTTCAAAGCCTAAGCATGAAAAAAACGAAAGAGGCCGGACTCTTGAAGAGCTACGAACTTGTTTTGTAAACCTCAGATTGTTGACAGAATCGAGGATTAGACATAGAAAAACCGTTCCTCTCTTAAAGAAAGCACAATAACAACATCTCAATTTACCAGCCGGTGGACGTACTGATATACACGTCATGAATATTCCAAAGATCTTACAAGAGAACACAACAACTAGTAACTGTTGGGTACAATGGAGATGCACATTCAGAGCCCAAGATTAATCCTGGTAAAAATGGGAAAATGTGGAGCAATAGACTTTGATTTACATCACATGAAGTACGAACAACATAATAAGTGAGTTCAAGCATCCCGTGGTATTCTATTAGCACTGGCAGCTTCTACTGATTCCAGTTCTTCCACGACTTCAATCATGGAAGGCCAACCCTTAGGAGTCTTTTGGAGGCATTTCAAAGCTAGCTGTGCTATTTGGAATGCAGAATCTATACAATAGTTGTCCTCCAATCTAGAGCCCACTATAGTCTTCAGTTTTCTTTTACTAGATAAGAGTGGTCTGACCCATGTCACTAAATTATGTTGTTTTTTCGGACGGTTCAGATCAAATGCCCTTAAGCCTGTTAGTATCTCAAGCGACACAACGCCGAAACTGTAAACATCACTCTTCAGATAGAGATGCCCTGCAAAATCGAAGAGTTTTATGTAATGTCGCAGCAAAGAGTAAAAAATAGCTTCCTGATACACTTCCTATTATTGTGGAAATTCAAGACTGACCGTCCTTCAGCACTAAGTCAACGAAAAGCACTTTTCACTGGAAAACGTTATATTGGATTACCAGTCATTACGTATTCAGGGGCAGCATAGCCCATGGTACCCATAACCCGTGTTGAAACATGTGACTCGCCCTCTGGAGGACCAGACCTCATCAATCCAAAATCCGTGAGTCTGGCCGTGTAAGACTGCAGAAGAAACCGACGGTGGATTAGACTCAGTTTCCAGCCTAAATATAGATTGCAAACTTTCATGAAACTAGCAAAAAACCATATGGAGATATATATATATAAAAGCAACTGGGACTGGTTCATGGTCTCGTCTTGTTTAATATCAACTGTAAGGAGATTTGCAATCAACTATAGCCCTTTCATCAATTAAGCAGAGGGAAGCATAGGATCGCCACTTCGTATTATGACTCTTTTCTCCTGGTTAGAGGACACAACTCCAAGTCTTCAAAGTGAGGTGATAGGCACGTCATTGTCATCATTATCCTTCTTTCAATAATTTGACTAGATTAATCATAGAATTCATATGGATTTTATGATTCAGGACAATAATCATTATAAGGAGGATAATATATCAACCGCATCTAGCAAAATATTTGAAGTTTTGAAATTCCTGTGTATCATGTTACAGGAACTGTGCAAGAAAGCCAGGCCTCTGGCAGCCCCGATCGCAATCTTGAGGCGCACATCCCATGGAAGATGAGCAGTGGAGCCCTCTGTACCAGAGTAATGGACAGTGTAAAATGTAAGTCATGCTTAAATGCAAGCACGTGTTCAGAGTAGCTTGAATTTTGAAATAAGCACATGCATCAACTATGACTATCAACCGATCAAGAAAAAATGCTAAACCATTGGCATCCTTGAGGAGACTTTTCAGAAAATCACAGAGATTTGGGCCACTTACTTCTGAATAGGTGGTTGTTCAAGCTGCCCTTTGGCATGAACTCATAAACAAGGACTAAATCTTCACCCTCTCGACAATATCCCAGGAGCTTGGCAAGGTTAGGGTGAGATAGCCTCCCAAGAAACTCTATCTCCCTCTGCACGACAAATAGAAAATGAGCAAAAGAGAGTCTCACACATGGTCAGCATTAAAAGATATGACAGAAATGAAAAACCGCCACACTAGACCAGATAGATGTTTTTCTCCATGGGCTTCAATTGGTCAACAGGAATGAAACAGTCACAATAAAATAGTTGATAGCAAAATAAAAGGTACAAATTGGGAATTGAGACCTAATTCCCAATGAAATGTTCAGTTTTTTTTTTTCGGTAAAGTATGAAATGTTCAGTTTTAGTAGTAGTTAGACTGAAGACTCATGGTCATTGTGCATCCTGTAATATAAAATGTATATCAATATTGGTAAAATGTACTTCAGATCATACTAGCTCTGTAGAAAATATTTAGCTCACATGAAACCAGTAGTAGCTATGCAGAATCATTGAAATATAAAACAGAAACCAATTATAATTTGCGATCATACCGGTAACTTCATCTTGCAGTGTGTATCCACCCTATATCATTTGATTGGCCTTGCAATTTGCATTACTTCTTCAATATAGAAGCAGAATTCAGTCGAAAACTAAAGACAACAAGTTCACTATGAGAAGAACCACATTTCATTAGTCAAAGAAGGTTGAATGACTTCGTCCATCAAGGCCGATGAGTGAGACCAAGTCTCCTAAGGCTATGATCACATCGAAAAGGCTGATCATCACATAGATGGAAGACTGAACTTAGATGTGCAATTCTTCATTCCTTGCAATCGAGTCACACTTAATAGGCTCTTCTGATAGTTAGATCATAAAAGCCATTGGCCACACACTCTCATGGCATGGTTTGTGAAAAGAAAGTTCTATCACTGTTAACTAAACGGGGCCTTCCAATCTAATCTGCTGAGGACCTTAGTGACTGAATAATCTCAAGAACAAACGTAAAAGCGTATTTCAACTGTAACTAAATCTTCGATTTTTCCTTTCTATTGAAATGTTTGAAGCAAAATCGCTTCTCATATTCTTCTTGTACTTCATTTAAATTTAAAATATGCATATTGTGTACACTAACGAGGGGTTAGTTAGATGACTGAAAACTTCACGAGAATCTTGAACATACGTGTAGGTAATATCACCAAACAATAAACACTACTCAGTCAGGCACCAGCAATACTGTTGTCTTCTGCCTACTGCCATCATTTTGCACCCTAACAAAGCCGAGGAGGCAATCAATGAACTCTCGGAAATATCTGATTATAGCCAAAATCACAGGCAATTCCCCAAGGGCCCTTTTAGAAACAAAATTGCATGGCGAGGCCACCACTTATAGAAAATCCTGGGACAATCAACTTCAAGTACATTTGGATTTGCGTTTACATAGCCATATAGATTCAGGTTGTCTAGTATTTCTGCCCCTCCTATTTTCACAACGAGGGTGTTTATTGACACAAATGAGTTTGGCATGACAAGCTCCCATCAGTACGTACCATCATGCATTTGGTTTGCTTCGTTTCAGTAATTGACAAAGCAAAGTATTTATTTTCCAAGAAAAGAAAATGGAGACGACATAGTTCTTACCAGCCACTCTCTATACCCTTGTGCGGAACTCTGGTCTAATCTTTTCACAGCTATTATAGTCTTTGTCCTCTCAGACAGTTGCTTTCCATGAAGCACTCCTTTATAGACATAACCAAATCCTCCCTCTCCAACCTGCGCATCGGCTCGAAAATTTTTGGTTGCCTCTTTCAACTCTGCGAAACTGAAGACAGTTAAGTTGGGTGCTGCCAAAATCTCTCCATCTCCGAAGGCCTGATTGTCGCGGGCACCCACCAAGTCGTGGCTATTGCTGGCTGCAGAAGATGATGAACTACTGATTGTCAACTTCATCCCTGCAGTTTCAAAAAACGAAAACAGAGAAAATTGCTTTAGACGATCACAAAAAGAAGATGAAAGACTCCAAACTTAAGCACAAGGATTCATTTTATAGGGACCAGATAGATGTAGAGATGAAGAGCACTCTCGCAAAAACTTTTAATAGTACCTGATTTGAGATAACCGGTAAAGCTAGGAGTAGGGAAGTCAGGAGTACCATAACACACCCCCATCTCTCTCTCTTCTCTCTCTCTAAAAGGAACTACTGTCTTCCCTCTTCCTTGCCTCTCCCAAACCTTGTTTCCTCAGGAGAAGAGGACAACCAAACCACCCAAAAGCTCCCAGATCAGGCAACACTAACAACAGTTGATTAACTTGAGCTGGATATTTCTATTCTTGAATTTTTTTCTGGCCAACCAAACAGTCTTTCAGCAGAAAAGTGACCTGGGTCCACACATCCCTGTCACATTAGTTTCTTTTTGGAATCACTGCCACATTAGTTGACTTACTTATCTGTACCATAGCTGATGGGAAACAACAGAAGGAGAGAGAGAGAAAAAGAAAGTAATTCAATGAGGCACAAAGAATTAGATCCCTCTAAATTAAAAATCTCACTTTTAGCCAGATGAGTGCTTTGGGGCGCTTATTAAGCATAATTCATAGGAAATGTTTTTCAATATTCGATTATACATGACAGAACAAAAATAATTTGTGAAAAATCGCATACTTACTTTAAATAGTTTTCGACAGTGTCTTAACAAGTGTCAAACATTTTAACAAAATCATTCAGAAAATCAACAAGAGCATGCAAGAGATGGGTTCACATACCTACTTACCTTAGGCTGGTTTTCCAGATTATTAAACAAGAGAAATGATTTGTGACACATGTGTCACATATGTATCAGACTATCAGTTTGGGATGAAAACGTCTAACTACTGACTATTCTGTTCATGACTACAAACATACCAAGTTCCTGAAAGGGAACAAATCGCTAATATATAGTGTTCAGGTACTGAGCATACCTCCTTATGACCATGAAAAATGTCAAGGGCAGTCAAATGGTCTTTATTTGTGGCCAAATCGTCCGCCCTTTTGTCTCGTGCGACTACGAATATGATGTATTGTCTGTTGAGAGAAGCTAAAGGCAAAGCCGTGTTGCCATCCTTGTCTTGTTCGTATATAAGATCCTCCAGGTTAGGCATTTCTGAATATGTAATTGACCCCATTTACTTTTCCACCTAGAACAGCTGTATGAAGAGTCGTTTGCCCGTTGTTTTTTATTGCATCCCCAGCGTCAGGACGAAATCTAAGCAGCTCGTCAACGATATTCTCGTGGCCTTGAAATGCTGAAATATGTAGAGGGGATTCTGCATATTGGTCATCGAGGTACGCTGCGGAGTTATCACGTCGCCGGAACAGCTGACTGCTTCAACTCCACCCAAAGCAAGCAGCATAATGAAGACGAATCCACCCAATCTCATCTCCTTCTCTTATCATTCCAGGCCTCCTCTCAACAATCATGTCCAAGCAACCTTCGCAAGTGCAATATTATGAGGGTCACAAGAACAATTAAGACAGTTTTCAGCACCTTCAGGCTGAATATTGATATTTAAGATGCACTGTTCATTGAAGTTTTACCTTTATCCTTCATCCTTTCTTTAGTCTTTGCCGGTCTCAATGCCCGACAGATATACAGTCATCGATCACCATTTTAGCGACAGCCACTTCAACATACTCCCCTGGGTCTAAGTCAGCACTAAGCTCATACCTCTCCACAAAGACCCCATCATGTTTACCGGGCTTTCTATCTCTTTCCTTCAGTAGATTTTCATGCCTGATAGCCTTAGTTGTTAACTGAAAAAGGTCATTGTACGGTTGCCCTTCCATTCTTTCCCTTATGGGGAATTTCATCCCACAGAAAACTATCTTGGCTAAAGATCTCTCTGCTAACGGCGAAAGATCTCTTTGCTAGCGGCCAAAGACACCGATTTTTGGCTTTTCTGAATCGGCATATGAACTATTCTACCGATTCATTACTATATTGTTTCATATGAATTTTATGACTCATAAAGTTAAATTATGGTCTTACATGGGACCGGTTCCGGACCCAAGATGCACATTTTTTTACGTCTAGTCCTACATTTGCTCCTTCTTGAGATAGAAATAGGATAGATTACATTTTGAGAGAATTTCAATTCAACTTTATCTAATACTAGCATGTAATGTTGCATGACTCGAGGATACTTTGATTTTGGAAAAAACAAAGTGCAATCTTTTATAGAACTAAAAACTTGCTCATACTTCATATTTAAGCAATAGTCCCTTAGCATAGCTACGCGATCATATACATTACGATAGTTTGAAATTTAATAAGTTAACATTAGTCTTGCATCGAGATTTCAGTTCCCAAATCCCTGCAGATCTTTGTATACCATGATTTCTATTTTTGACACTGTATTGTTGTTTTCACGTTCAACAAACTGTATCCAGATCGAGCCTAGATTATTGTGCTTGTCATGCCTCCAATTTTACTATTATCTATGTTCCGGGAAACCAAGAAAGGATAACGAAACAATTGGACATGTCTTTGCTGCAACAAAATAGCAACAAATTACATGTCTTGTTCATTTTAAATGGAAAACTGAGCAGCTCTTTGCTTTAAATAACTCAATCAGTAACCCAACCATGTCTCAGAGCTAAAAAATGACTATGAGAATGAGCCGAACCGCATAATACTTCCTGGAGATTGGTGGCGGGCCGAGTACCGTATGAACAAATTCATGACAGCAACAAGAATGAGCTTCTGCTGATGTTCAAAGCCCGAGCATGAAAAGAAACAAAAGAGCTCGGAATCTTGAAGAGCTACGGACTTCTTTTGGTAAACCTTAGATTGCTAACAAAATTGAGGATTAGCCATCGAAAAACCGTTCCCCTCTCCCTCTTAAAGAAAGTGCAATCACAACAATCTCAATTTACAAGTCCATGCACATAATGATTGACACGTATGAGTAATTCCAAAGAACTTACAAGAAAACACAACACCAAGTAACTACTGGGTACAATGGAAAAGAACATTCAAAGCCCGAGATTAATCCTGGGAAGTGATAGACTTTGATCACATCACATGAAGTACGAACTACATAATAAATAAATTCAAGATTTGCGTCGTATTCTCTTAGCACTGGCAGCTTCTATCGATTCCAGTTCTTCCACGACTTTAGTCATGTAAGGCCGAAACTTAGGATCTGTTTGGAGGCATTTTAAGGCAAGCTGAGCTATTTGGAATGCAGAATGTATATAATATTTGCCCTCCAATCTGGAGTCCATTATAGTCCTCAGCTGTTTTTTCCTGGATAAGCGTGATGTGGCCCACTCCACTAAAAGATGTTTGCCTACTGGACGGCTCTTATCCACTGCCCTCAAGCCTGTTAGTATCTCAAGCAACACGATGCCGAAACCGTAAACATCACTCTTTACAGTGAGACGCCCTGTAAAATCCAAGAGTTTTATGTGATGTTGCAGCGAAGCATCAGAAAATAACTTCCTGATATTATTGTCAAAATTCAAGACTGAATGTTCTTCAGCACTAAGTCACCAAAAGGCACTTCACAATAAAAAAATTACCAGTTTCTAGGTATTCAGGGGCAGCATAGCCGGAGGTACCCACAAACTGTGTTGAAATATGTGACGTTTCCCCCGGAGGACCAGACCTCACCAATCCAAAGTCCGAGAGTTTGGCCGTGTAGGACTGGAGAAGAACCGGACAGTGGATTAGACTCGGGTTCCGGCCTGAATATCAATTGCAAACTTCTGTGAATCTAGCAAAATACAATATGGAGATATCTAAAAGCAACTGGGGACTGGTTAATGGTCTTGTCTCGTGTTCTGAACTTAACATCAAATCTAAGAAGGATAGATTTGCAATCAACTAGAACCCTTCCATCAATTAAGCAGAGGGAAACATAGGATCTCCACTCGCTATTATGACTCTCTTCTCCTGGTTAGAGGACGCAATTGCAAGTCTTCAAAGTGAGATACTAGGCATGTCATTGTCATCATTATACTTCTCCCAAGAATTTGACTAGAATGATAGAGTTCATATGAATTTTAGATACAGAACCTTAATCATTATAAGGAGGATAAAGTATTAACCGCATCTAGCAAAATATTTGAAGTTTTGAAATCCCTGAATATGAGTTTCCTCTCAGGACAGTGCAAGAAAGCCAGGCCTCTGGCAGCCCCAACCGCAATCTTGAGGCGTATATTCCATGGAAGATGAGCAGGGGAGCCCTCTGAACCAGAGTAATGGACAGTGTAAAATGTAAGTAATGCTTTAAAGCAAGTACATGTTCAAACTAGCTTGAATTTTGAAATAGGCACATGCATCAACTATGACTATCAAATGATCAAGAAGATATGCTAAACAATTGGCATCGTTAAGGAAACTTTTCCAAAATTCATAGAGTGATCAGACCACTTACTTCGGAATAGCTGGTTTCCCAAACTGCCCATTGGCATGAACTCATAAACAAGAGCTAAAGTTGTATCCTCTTGACAAAATCCCAGGAGCTTGGCAAGGTTAGGGTGAGAAAGCCTTCCGAGAAAATCTATCTTCCTCTGCACGAAAATAAGCAAAAGAGAGTCTCACACATTGTCAGTAGTAAAAGATACGAAAGAAATGGAAGCCCCCTAGACCAGGTAGATGTTTTTCTCCTTAGGCTTCAATTGGTCAAAGAATTGAAACAATCACAATGGAATAGATGATATCAAAACAAAAGGTACAGAATGGGAACTGAGACAAATTCCCATTGAAATGTTCAGTTTAACTAATAGTTTGACTGAAGACTCGGGTCATTGTGCGCCTGTAATATAAAATACATATCGATATTGGTAAAATGTACTTCAAATCATACTAGCTCTGTAGAAAATATCTAGCCCGCATGAAACCAGTAGTAGCTATGCCGAATCATTGAAATTTGTAACTGAAACCATTTATAATTTGCGATCAAACTGGTGACTTTATCTTGCAGTGGTGTATCCACCCTATATGATTTGATTGGCTTTGCAATTTGTTTCAGTTCTTGAATATAGAAGCAGAATTCGCTCAAAGGATAAGGGAAACAAGTTCACTATGAAAAGAACCACATTGCATTAGTCCAAGAAGGTTGAATGACTCCGTCCATCAAGGCCGATGAGTGAGACGAAGTCTCCTGGGGGCTATGATCACATCGAAAAGGTTGATGATTACATGGATGGAAGACTGAACTTATTGTTACGCAATTTCTTCATTCCTTGCAATCAAATCACACTTAGTAGGTTCTCCCTTAGTTAGCATCATACAAGCCAATGGCCACACACTCTCATGGCATAGGTTTACTTAGTCAATTACAAAATAAAAGAAATGCAAAAAGAAAGTTCATCACCGTTAACTAAATATAGCCTTATAAACTAATCTGCTGAGGACCTTGGTGACCAAATAATCTCAAGAACAAACCCAAAAGCGTATTTTCAACTGTAACTGAATCTTCAATTTTTCCTTTCTATTGGAATGATTGAAGCAAAATTGCTTCTTAGATTCTTCTTTTACTTCATTTAAATTTAAATAATGTACATTGTGTAGACTAAAGTGGGGTTAGATAACTGAAAACTTCACGAGGATCGTGAACATACGTTTAGGTAATATCACCAAACAATTAACACTAATCAGTCAGGCACCAGCAATACTGTTGTCTGCTGCCCACTGCCTTCATTTTGCACCCTAACAAAGCCGATGAGGCAATCAATGAACTCTCAGAAATATCTGATCTCTCTATAACCAAAATCAGATGCAATCCTACAAGGGCCCTTTCAGAAACAAAATTGCAAGGCAAGGCCACCACTTACAGAAAATCCTGGGATTATCAACTTCGAGTACATTTGGATTTGCGTTTATATAGCCATATAAATTCAGGTCGTCTGGTATTTCTGCTCCTTCTATTTTCCCAACGAGGGTGTCTATTGACACAGTTGAGTTGGGCATGGCAAGCTCCCATCAGTACCATCATGCATTTGGGTTGCTTCGTTTTTGTAATGGACAAAGCAAAGTATTTATTTTCTAAGAAAGGAAAATGAAGACGACTTAGTTCTTACCCGCCACTCTGTGGACCCTTGATTACCAGACTGGTTTAACATTTTCACAGCTATTATAGTCTCCGTCCTTCCAGACTGTTGCTTCCCATGAAGCATCCCTTTAAAGACACAACCAAATCCTCCCTCTCCAATCAGTGCATTGCGATGAAAATTTTCGGTTGCCTTTTTCAACTCTGCGAAACTGAAGACGGTCAAGCTGGGGTCTGCCACAATCTTTCCATCTCCGAAGCCCTTTCTGTCGCGGGCAGCCGGCGAGTCATGGCTATTGCTGGCTGCAGGAGATGATGAAGTACTGATTGTCAACTTCATTCCTGTAGTTTCAAAAAAGAAAAACAAAGAACAGAGAAAATTGCTTCAGACGATGACAAGAAGAAGATTAAAGACTCCAATCTGATGCACAAAGATTCATTTTACAGAGACTACATAGATGTAAAGATTAAGATCACTTTCGGAAAAACTTTAAGAGTACCTGATTTGAGAGAACCAGTATTGCTAGGAGTAGGGAAGTCAGGAGTACCATAACACACCCCCATCTCTCTCTCAACAAGAACTACTGTCTTCCCTCTTCCTTGCCTCTCCCAAATCGTATTTCCTCCGGAGAAGAGGACATTGACTTGATCTTACATATAGACCAATGAAACCACCCAAAAGGCGCACGATGCTGATATTTTCTGGCCCACCAAACACTCTCGGTAGAGGATCAACCTGGCTCCCCACATCATTTTCCACACTAGTTGATTTTCTTATTCCCATAGCACATCCCACAAATTTCCAATGCATTCATATATTGACTTCCGGCGGACTTTTACGGATAGGATACAATAAAAGGAGAGAGACGAAGAAAGTTCGTCCACAAAAAATTAGATCCCTCTAAGTTGAAAATCTCACCTTTAGCCATGAACGTGCTTTGGGCAATCATTGAGCATATTTAATAGGAATTTTTTTTTCATAATTTGATCATACATGACAGAAAAAAAAGTTATGAAAAATTGCAAACTCACTTTTAATAGGTTTTGACAGTTTCTCAGTGTCGCACTTTCTAACGAAATCCTTTAGAAAATTAATGAGAGCATGCAACAGATGAGGTTTACATCCCTACTTTACCTTGGACTGCTTTTCCAGATTGTCAAACAAGAAGAAAATTGAACGGTTGACAATAGACAAACTGTATGTATGTTAGCTCTCATGTTCTCTCTATTTTCAGTTCACATCTTAAGTTGGATGCCCTCATGCTTTCATCCCTATGATTTTGTCAATTTTTGTTAGCACTAAAATGAAATTGGACTTATTCACGTCATCCTACAAATTCAATATATTATGTCTTGTCGTATTTGGGTATTCTCCTTATGTGTCGTATTTTACCTCAAGTTGTGTCCGCCATTACCCACCCAAAATAGTATCTTTCAAGCAAGAAGTTAAAAAGTTTGGATTAAGAAAGAAGTACACATAAGGAGGGAGAAAAAGTAAACTTGGTTGATAATTTTTCACTACAAATGAGAACTGCTGCAGTGGCTGGGTACACAGCTTATTGAGGTGAAATGAGCAAGTTGTCTCTCGTGAATATTTTCTGTCATCTGCGTGATTTTGATGATTAACAAAGGTTCTCTCTTCCTCATCAGGGCCGGTAACTTTCGATACCGAGACTTTAGGACATTCACCTTCACACAAAAGATATATTAAGGTCGTGAAGGAAACAAACGCTGCTTTTTTCCCAATAATCAAACATGACGTACAGATGATCGCAAAGTTGCATCAACTGAGCAAAAACCCGTTCATCCATCTTGGATTCCAATTCCAACTCAAATTCTGCTGAGGCGTTCATCTTCTCTGCCAAAAGGCTATCTTAGTAGAAAGATGTGCTAGATTATCCAATACTTAGAAAGCAGCTCTCAGGACATATTTTGCACTGTCGATGTGGCAGATGTTTCCAAAGTAGAAGTAGGGCCAATCATAGCAACAATCAGGTAATAATCATGAGAGATCTGGCCATGACATGATGTCACACCCCGAAACCTACCAGGATGGGGATGACATGGCCGTCCTTCCACCCGAAGGACGTAACCTCAAACCACCCAAAAGTCCCCATGACATCGCTCTCGCTCTATTAGCTACTAATCAAAGAACCTGAAAAGATTGGAGCAAGAGAGGGGTGAGCAACCACAGCTTAGTAAGTAGTACTTTTTTCTAAACAGATCGAGCAACCACTATGCATGTATACATAAAGCCATACCAGAATTCCAGAAATCAAACTCAAGATATAAAATACTTATCGAGTCAGATAAGAGTTGTTTCATTTAGTAAGTAGTACTTTTTTCTAAACAGATCGAGCAACCACTATGCATGTATACATAAAGCCATACCAGAATTCCAGAAATCAAACTCAAGATATAAAATACTTATCGAGTCAGATAAGAGTTGTTTCATTTCAACAAGTTTTATATAATTCAGAAATACTCATTTAAATCATCATAAACATCAATGGTCAAGTCCATTGATCAATCTCTATTAAAAACTATGTCAATGGTCTATTCCATTGACTAATCTCAAATCACACATCCATGATCTATTCCATTAATGAATCTCATATCACATCACACGTCGATGGTCCATTCCATCGACTAATCTATTGCTCAATATCAAACCATGGTCACGACACAAAGCCTTGTGACAAGGCTATCAAGATTCCCTTCTTGGCAAGGTCTCCACCTACAAAGCCGGTGGTTCGGCCCAGAAGGATGTCCTAAACTCGGTATACATACTCTCAAACCCCTCAATGGGTTCACAGTCATATTGAGCATCAAATAACTATCCTCCAATATCATAAATCTAATCCATAATACATTTCACAAACCAAATAAATAACTTTCTCGCAACACGGCTCAATCTCCAGAAATACATTTCGGCAGTTCTTGAATCATTTCTGAAGTAATTTCATAAACTAGTTCGTAACGCAATATACATATATATCTTTCACAATACATTTCCAAAAACGATTCTCAAATCATTCTCAAATACTAAAAAGTATGAAATGCTCGATCTCAATTATGCAATAAAATACTCTTTTAAGTTCAATATATATATATATATATATATATATATATATATATCGAATCATAATTTCTTCGAGACATGGATTTTACAAAATCAAAGAAGAGATAGTACCACTCACCTAGAATCTCCAAAAATCAAACGACGACGCTTACTCGAACCGACGATCTCGTAATCCTAATAATTAAACGAGAATCGATATCAAAACCAAGTAAAATACTACGATAACTACGAAATGGCTAAACGATGCTTAAATGCTAACAAGACAACTCAAAGGCGCCCACAAATTGCTCATCCAAAGCGAGTATCCAAACCGTCCACAACGCGGAGCTTGAGCACGAAACTTGATCGCGCCAAAACTCTTTCCATTGAACTCCGATCCTAGCAAACTTATAGTCAAGAGAAAGCCCGTTCAGAGTCTTACAAAAGCCCTAGCTTGACCACCCCAAAATCGAGCCGAAAACTGACGAAATATGGCCCGAACGTTGCCGGATGTGTACTATTCACCTTTTGCAGAAAACTTCAAAAATTCATTTCAGGCAAACGGTAAGTCCAAATCGAGATCCGTAAAATCCCATGGCTCCACAATATCCTAAACTACCAATTCTATATATATACATAGCTCAACGACTCAAAAATCAGACTTCGCGGCTTGAATTTCCCAAAATTTCAAATTTAAACCTTAAATCTAAAAACTTCTCCGATCGGACGAACGAGGGGCGCGAATGCTTATTGGGCATTGAAATACGAAGTCGAATCGGCTAGGTGAGGTTCATCTGGCACAAAACTTTTTTCCCTTTCCTCTTCTTCTCCTTTCCTCTTTTTCCTCTTCCCTTTTCTGTTTCTGTTCTCGGCAAGGAGCTCTCGGTCTCCTTTCAACTTAGCCGAGCCACTATAGCTGCTTTTGACTTTTTGACTTTTTGACCCTTTTTTTTTAATACTCGAATATTATATCCATCCCTCCTTAAAAGAAATTTCGTCCTCGAAATTACCTCAACTTTTAAACAAGTGAGGGTACTTGCGTCTTCCCACCTCCTTAGAGTTCCAAGTAGCCTTCTGTACAATTTTTCCAATGGATCTTCATACATGTTCTCAATAAACTCATCCGCTTCTTTAAGCTTACTAGCACATCCCAAAGGTCCACCACTCTTCCGCTGCCCCTTTGACCAAAATGAGTTTTGCTTTCTTTACTATTTCAGGTTTATCATCACCCTCAAAATTATTCAATCGCAAAAAAAAAACTGGCTCATAGTGCATTCACATAAGCATCAGAAAACAGAAACCAATCTAACCATATTTGCAAAACCTTCAAGACTCGTGACGTGCAGTACATGCAAATCTTCATACTAGATTTCCTTTTCATGAGAGGGAAATCTTTCTAACATGTCTCAGAGAAAGAATTAGTTCTCTGACACTCCATATAGGTCATTCCTCTTCCTATCCGGTGAATGGGTATCATCGTCATCATCGATTATCAACTAATAGAATTTCCATCTAGACCATACCCCAAATGACCAACATACAGACGCTTTACCGTCAAGATCAGTTTCTTCGTCTGGAAAATCCATAGAATCATACATCAATTCAGCCAAACTTCTCTCTTTCTCCTTATAATCAGTTATATCCTTCAAATTGTGTTTGCGCCCAGCTTTTGGGGGCTTTCAAACCATCCCGCTGAGAGGAGACCATCGTGTATTCAGAAACCAGAGTGCTTGATTCTGTATTATTGCCCACATGATTATTGCCATCGGAATTTAGAGCTTTAGCAACACTTTCCATCAAGCCTTCACAAAATTGTAGTTCAGGGAGCTCATTATAACCTTTCTGTCTCTAGGTTCTTCCTCAGCATATCAATCTTCCCTTAGATTGTTGTCAGTCACTTGGGGGCCACAAAGATCAGCAGAAAGAGCTTTTAGTTCTTCAACTTTCTCCTTCCAAAGCTCTAGAAAACTAGAGAGAGGTTACCAAGAGAATTCAGTTCTTGATTATCTCAGAGTCTCTCTTTAAGAACACGCTTCTATTATTTCGAATCTATAATCTTCTCTATCAAAGCTTGGTTTTAAATTAGTCTGTTGGAGTTATCTTCCTGCAAACGCCATTGAGTCATCTGCACATCAACCAATTTCTTGCGCATCACTTTCATATAAGTCCTTAGCGCCTCCTATTGTTGCTCCGCCTTGCCTAGATCCGACCTTAAGAGGTTTTCATCTCTAGAAGATCATGCTTATCTTTTTCCAGCATCATATATTGCTCGGTCATGATTCTGAGTTCCTGCTCGAGGGAGTCTTTACTTGGCCCGAGCTTGTTACACTTTAATTCGAGTCCTCCGAGAAAGGCTATTAACATGGTGTTCTTAACTAGCAACTTTTGCTCTTCATCTCTGCTCCTTGTGAGCGATTTCTTTAATTGCCCTATTCTGTTCAAGATATGCCCTAAAGGCAATTTGTCAAGTTGGGAAAGCATTTGTTGTTTCACAATCTCACCTTCACGACCTACTTCCGCATCAATTTGAAAAGGCCTGAACACTTGATAAAATGCCATTTTCTGTCTTCCAATTTCATTTGCCAGCATTTCCCTTTCTAGTGGCTACTCGAGATTTTCACTCTCCAGTTCATTGATCAACTTATTGGATAATTAGGAGGCTTCAACGTGTTTCTCACATTTTAATTAGAG